GATTTCACAAAATAAACAAGAACAAATAATACTATAATTAATTTGCAATCGTTCTTGCATTGGCTTCTCCTGAATGGAAAAATTGTTGGATTTCCTTCATCCAAAACCAAATAGATGCTGTGATCTCACGATTCCAATAAATACGTCACATCATAGCATTTGTGCTTAAAAAAAAGATGCACATGGGTGGGGTTGATTGTTAATGGTAGCCAACAGCCACGTACGTGAAGACGAAAGGAGTAAGTTGTGTTGCCCTACAACTGCTGCCATCAACCTCTTTACTTTGTTCAAAGGATATTGGATGCACCAAATTAACTTTGGATACCTACTTACCCTCTAAAAGGTAAAAACAAAGAAAGCAAGGCCTTGGATACCCATGGCTGGACTCCAAAGCTAGATTCAGTGCCACTGCATCAAATTCTTTCTCCTGGAAATGAGTCAGAAACAGAAAGGTTGTGTTTTTTTATAATACAGAAAGAAAAGCTTCAAATATTTATGATAAAACTAATTATATTACATATTTCATTCCCAATTTATATGTTTTGATTAATAGTTTTAAAACTTAATATGTTTTCATTTTAAGATTTTTTTAAACAATTATAAAAATATTTTTTTTTTACTTCTATCATTTTATATAAATCTTTTAAAGCATAAAAAGAAAGTAATACTATTTTTATAATTTAAAAACAATATACAGATTGAATATTTAAAACAGTTTCATATTAAACGGGGCGTGTAATTGTCGTTATCATTATTTAACAGAAAAGCATGCCTAAGAAACAATTGGCATAGGCAAATTTAACGTAGGCCCTAGGATTTCCAACTGTGCCTTTATTGTTACACTCATAACTCATTACAATGGCTATCACCATCGCGCTGATGCAGTGTGTATTTCCATGCCTATACAAGACAATTTTTACGCGCTTCTATCTATTTCCTTTTATGGGAAAAAATTAGTTCCTTTTCATGTGTGTTTTGGTGGATTTGTTTTAAATTTCAGTAAGAATAAATTTAATTTTGTTTTAAATTTCAATTAAAATGATGTAATTTTTGTTTAAAATTTTATTTCTTGAAGTTTATAATAAAAATTTAATATATTTTTTTAATTCAACGTAGTTTATATTTTCTTCATGTCAACTCAAATCAATTTTAGTTAAAAGTAATCAAACCTTATTATTTAAAATCACTTTACAATAAAAAAAATGTAACTATATAAAATCATAACGTGTATCTAAACATGTGCTTCTAGTCTGATTTAATTACCAGTTATTGTTACCGAATTGGAGTTAGCACGTAAAAAAAGGTAATTAAATGTTTTGAAACTAAATTAAAAAAATAGTATAAAAACAAAATTTAAAACAAGTATTACCTATATAGAAAGTGTAAAAAATTGATTTAAATAATAACTTTAAGTATTATCGTGACACACATCCTTATAGTATTCACAGCCCAACACCAACCTTGGACGACCCATAAAGTGGATCTGAGCAACAATGTTTTCAGGTCTGTTTGGTGGCAGTTGGATTTGAATCCGTCATTGTAGATTATGAGAGGCTTGATTTTGGTGAAAACACAGCCCAACAGTTCAAATAAAATTGGACCCAAACAAGGAATGCGCTGCCCAAGCCCATACAGTGGTAAGAAAAATACATATAGATGAGAAACAAACATACACTTACTTATCTCTGGACTTTTCTTGTGTGGGCCTCCGGCCCTTTTTGTCTGTATGTCTCTCGACCAAAAATAATATCACAAACAGTGATAAACAGTGAAGAAGGGACTTTTCGAGTACAAGAAAATCTAAAGCAAAGAGGAGTATACCGAACAACAAAAATTATTGAAAACTAAGAATTTGTATTTATATAAATATGAAACATTTCAGATAACAAACACAATTTATATGAACGTAGAAATTTTATTTGAGAAAAAACACCAGACAGACACCTTGCTCCTTGCACGCGTAGTTATCACTATGTCATGTCTGAAGTGACATTAATAAGTAGAATTCATGTGGAAGCAGAAGTACACTTCAAGTTTAAGTTATGAACACATTATAATGGCGTCACTGGTGGTAATGACAAGGCATAGTTACGCTGTTGTTATTATTATTTGGTTTAAAATATGAGCTTGTTTCCACACATGAAGAAACGAAATTAAACGCTGAATTGAAAATTTAAGGAAAAATCATTACATATAGTTGTCCAAATAAATATAATAATAAATGAAGAGAATGTCTATAACTTAATGTCACGACTGATAAGGGCAACTTAGTTTCTTTTTTTTTTAACTTCTTTGTGCCAATTGTGCTCAAATAAAAAAATTAATTCAGGAGAGAACACTTTTTCGGACTTGTATCCCAAATGTAATTTCGCATGGCGGCTTATTGTGAATTGAATATTTTATTTTCTAAAAAAATTAGTCTCCCATTTTGACCACTCACTTAATTAAGTAATTTCAAAAGTCAATACATCTCTTCTATTTCTCTTTTATTGTGGCAAATAGGTGATTAAAAGTCTTGTTTTTATCACACGCTATTTTTAAAAGAATAATAAAAAATTATCATTAGTAAAAGTACTAAAATTACCATATTAAAGGGTTAAAAATAAAACAAGAGATGTTGAATGATATCCGTTTGATAAGACTTACTCTAAAATGGAACTGGGACTGCGTCAATAAGAGCAAATGTTTGCAGAATCACTTATTTAAGCTACGCCGTGGGCCCACGGCGGTGTCCGGTGATGATGCTATTTATTGGATTCAATCCCGCCGCTAGACGGTCACCCCCATCACCCTTGCCCATCAATAGCAGCCACCACAATCCTCACCAATACCAAGCACGACTAAATCTAAGTGGAAATTTTTAAGTTTTTTTAAAAAAAATTAAAGTGAATTTTTATATTATTTTAATTAGAAATAGTATTAAAAATTGTGTTTAAATTTTATTTTAACAAGTATCCTCTACCAATCTTTCTAAAATTGGAGTCATCATGTTCTAGAAAACATTCGGAAAAATAAATTAATTTCTGAAAAAGAGGAAATGATTGTATTTTTTTTATTGAGAAGAAAAATAGTGAAATAAAAATTTATTGAATTTTTTTTATATTTTTAACATGATAATAAGTAGATATATAAATAAATAGATTGTATATATAATTTAAAAAATATTAAAATATGTCATTTTTTAGAAAATTATTGAAATATGAATTTGAAAATTGTCAATATCGATATTTAATTTAAGTGTAGAGACTGAAAAAATATAAATTATAAAATATTAAAAATCGTTAACTATAATTATTCAAAATAATATTAAAAAATTAAAAATTAAAACATCTCAAAGATAATTTTTTTAAAAATTAAAAAAAATTAAAAAAAGTATAAAAAAATTGCTAATTAGTCAAAATTTGTCACTAACAATTTTTGAGAATTTCTCATATTTTTTAATTTTTTTAAAAAATTATATGTTAGTAATTTTACTTTTTTTTCATATAAAAAAAAGCCCAAATAAACTTAACATGTAAACAAAATTTTTCTTCATAGATTTTTTGAAGACTTCTTATGATCTTCTCTTTTTATTTCCAAATCGTACATTGAAAAATAACTGCATATAATTCGAACCGCAAAAATTAACACAAATTTATCATAATACTAATTATAAAATAGAAAAAATAACCAGGAATTGCTGTGGATCAGTTTACATTTTTTCATAATTACTTTTTACATTTTTTTTCTTTTTATGGATTTTTTTAATCAAATAGAGCAGCGAAAGTCTACTATTTAATTTTACTTTTTTATTTTATAACTGAAATCTATGATAAATTTGTTTAGACTTATAATGTGCCTTTTTTGTATATTTTTTTATTGCGTTGTGTTTTTCTTTGCCTCTACATTGTGTCTAGTTATGTATAAGAATACAAAAAATAATCACATATAGACAAAAAGAAATGTTATATATAAACACTAAAATAAAAAGTATATAAAAATTGATCACCTATGAGAAGACTGTTAATCATATTAGACTTACTTCACTAGCCTTATAAAGTAAGATAATAAGAATGTCTTTTTTTTTTTTTCAATAACTTAAAATAAATAAATATTAAAATAACTAATATTTAGAATCTTAAAAGATAAATAGAGTATATTCGTAGTAGAATAACAGTACAGACTTTGATTCCTACTTAGTCCACAAGGAAACAGAGGAAAACAAACAATGATCATTTTCTTGCTTTTGTAGTTGTCAGTTCATTTTCTTTCGCTATCTACAAAGCCAATAGCCTCGCCTCCTCCACCTCCTACTTTATAAATAAATTATAAACCTAATCTAAATATATTGATTGCACTACCATTTAATTATATATTATTATATAATAAAAACATCATCTTTATATTTTATATTTTTCGTACACTTTTATTAATTAATAATATATAAAAATTATATAAACAACATGTTAAAATTAAACTAATTTTATTCTTACAATTACACACTGTATTCGTATAGTTTTTCACTATCTAACAACGTGCATAACTCTACAATTTTTTTTGTCATATTATCCTGTTTTTATACAATATCCTGTTTAAAATTACGTGACGCAAAACAAAATAAAAAAGCACAAAAAGAAAATGAAAGAAAAAAATCCTTGTCTAATTAAGTGTTTATTTTTTTTACAATTTAAACGTAGCTCCAATAAAATATTTTATTAAAGTATAAATTAATCTTTTTATAAAAGTAGTGATTATATTACAATATCTCATAAATGACGTTACTTAAAAAGATTAAAATAACAATTTATATAAAAGTAGTAATTATATTATAATAAAATATTTTATAAAAAATTGTCCATGACTTAATTGGGATCTTGTAAGATCTTAGTTTATTCAATACTTCGTCATCTAGCATAGGAAAAATCATAGTCCCGTATTTTCAAGATCACCTTATATTATTTAATTATTATTATTCTTCCTCCTCTTTGTTCCAAGTCTGAACCATTAAACATGGGAGTGGAAACAATGCGAATTCCCGTGTGGTTCCGTTGGTTCTGAATTCTTAACTACAGTAACAGACCCTTCTCTCTGGTTCCATTGAAGTGCTGCAAATGAAGTGCTTTCATTTCTCGAATGGAGAGGGTAAAGGAGAAGAAGAAGAAGGGGGAGCATCGAGTTCGAGGGGTTCGAGGGTGTCATGGGCACGCTCCCTCAGCCTCATGGACACGCGGAGGTCTCACTTTGACTCTCAGTCAACGGATTTGTCCGACACCCTCGGATTCCATGACTTCCTCTCTCAGCGCCGTGCCAACAACCTTCGAATCTTTTCCTTCTCCGAACTCAAAACCGCTACACGTGGCTTCAGCAGAACGCTATTGATCGGTGAGGGAGGGTTTGGTTGTGTCTACAGAGGGGTTCTTAATCTCAGTCATCATTCACCACCTCAAATGGACGTTGCTATCAAACAGTTGAATCGTAATGGCCACCAGGCATGCTTTTTCTTTCCTTTTCAAGTGATTATATCATTTTTTAAATATGGGAAATGAAAAAAATCGATTTTTTTAACTTTGGGTTTGGTGGGTGGTTAAAGGTGGTGTTTTTATGTTTGTGTTGCATTTCTAGTTTTCAGGGGCATAAGGAGTGGATTAATGAAGTGAATTTGCTGGGTGTGATCAAGCATCCGAATCTGGTGAGGTTAGTGGGTTATTGTGCTGAAGATGATGAAAGAGGGATTCAAAGGCTTTTGGTGTATGAGCTTATGCCTAATAAGAGCTTGGAAGATCATCTTTTGGCTCGGGTACCATCAACACTTCTTTCCTGGGCTACGAGGTTAAAAATTGCTCAGGATGCAGCTCGTGGTTTGGCATACCTCCATGAAGAAATGGATTTTCAGGTACAGTGCAGCAAATTGTAATTTTGCTTTGTCATGTGCTACAATCGTGCAGGATATCAGTTTCTTAGGTTTATGGTCATTTATCTGATTTGCCAATTTGTTGATTTCTGTTGATAAATTATGTGTGTGCGGGTAAGTGTTTGCAAACTTAATTTGATCTTGATTTTGGGTAAAAGTGAATTTGAAGCGAAGCGATGAATGTGTAGATACCTGGCTTAATGGAAGGTGACAGTTGGTAGAGAATGTTTAGACTTAGTTGTTGTAGTGAATGCAAAAGCAAGTGTTACTTGCTTCATACCAAACGGGGTTTTGGCGAACAATAAAATTTCAGAAATGATTTCAGTGGGGAACCAAACAAGAATTTCATGAGCAAATTTATGATTAAGTAGGGAACTTTCATTTAGGTGTACCAAAGCCTAACCAGGCAGAAAATCACTGATCAGGACATACAATTAACGAGATTTTAATCCCTGTTTGTAAAAACTCTTTGTAATTAAAGTAAACATTGAATTTTTTCTTGTTTGTTCATCTTTACATTGAAGTAGAAATATAAAACCATTATCAAGAATGCTGTTAGTTAGACATTCCTATTTGGCTTTTTAACAATGGTTTATAATTGCCCCTGATTATTTTGCCATGACTTAATCCTTTTTTAACGTTTGTGAACGGCTTCTACTCTGGATGTCTTTTACTGCATTTCACGTCAGCTAAAATTTGTAGAAACTCATTTTTTATTTCTGTTCAAACTGGTGTGCAGCTAATATTTCGAGATTTCAAGACATCCAACATCTTACTGGATGAGAATTTCAATGCAAAGCTTTCTGATTTTGGACTTGCTAGGCAAGGACCCTCAGAAGGGTTTGGCTATGTTTCAACATCAGTAAGATAATGTCTATACTCTGGAGAAAACTCATTATATTCTAATTTTAAACATTCCATTGGTGGAAATTTGACACTATAGCATGATAAGATAAGAATAACATGCCTTCTGGCAGCTTATTTGAAGTAAATTAGATATACTTCACCATATTCAATGCTGAATGAATCTAATTTATGAAGTCGTAATGATGTTTTGAAGTCTAAACCTTTGTATGTGATCCTGATATGCAAAATAAATGACTTATTTCCTCTTCACAAAGGTTGTTGGCACCATAGGTTATGCTGCACCAGAGTACGTTCAGACTGGTAAGCTGACTGCTAAGAGTGATGTTTGGAGCTTTGGCGTAGTTCTTTATGAACTTATCACTGGGAGGAGAGCTGTAGAGAGAAACCTACCAAGAAATGAACAAAAGCTTTTGGACTGGGTAAGACCTTATGTTTCTGATGCTAGGAAGTTCCATCTTATTGTAGACCCTCGACTTGAAGGACAGTATTGCATCAAATCGGCTCGTAAACTTTCAATCCTAGCAAACAAGTGTCTCATGAAGCAGCCAAAGTCCCGTCCAAAAATGAGCGAGGTAGTTGAGTTTCTTGGAAACATTATTGATGAGACACTTCCTCAGGATGAATACATCCCCCAAGCTGATGCAGAAATTGTAGAAGAAAAGGAAGAAAAGTTATCTGTAGAGGACACTGAACCTGAACCGGCTAAACAAGGGAACAATTACCTGAAGAAGGTTTTTGAATTCAGAGACATGGTCAGCTTAAGAAATAAGTCTATTGGAAGGTTGGATTGGAAAAGTTGGGCACCAGGGCTAGTAAGAACATGGTGATGAGTGTGATCTGCATATCTTGGAAAGCAAAATTTTCCATTACAGTCACTTTGATCACATAGTTTTCAGTCAGTGAAATCAACATTGATAGGCACACAGTTAACGTGCTGGTATATACCCAATTTTGTATTAATAATTAGTAGTTGTATGTACAGGTTAATTTTGAGGAAAGCTATAGTATCAAATGATTTGGCCTTCTCAAACAAACAACCAATCTAGTCTTGAAAATCAAGATAGGTAGTAATTGGAATCAAAATTTTCAGCTATACTCGCTTGAGTCTTGCAAGTTGCCAAGTTTTCTATCAAAAGGTAAATGTCCTATTAGTAAAACAAGATGCAATTACTGCAATAGAACTGACTAGAGCACACAGATTTTGGTTTTATATATTTCATTTTATGTAAATATATATAATCCGGTTTCCTATGTGCTTTGTAGTTGATGAAATGTTTGTTGTTCACTTGTATATAATACTTGAATGTTAATTATGAGTACTAATAACTCCTTCCAGTAGTTCGTTTTCAGAAATTCAAAATAGAAGTTTACACGTGAAATGTTAAGGATGTAATAAATGTGCATTAAATCGATGGAAGAATTAATTTATTATTACTGACAAAAATTGAGACAAATTTGCACATACCCAGTCTACATAGACGAAAAACATAATGTCACAATTGTTCGACGAAAATTATGCAATTAATCTTTTTTATCACTAATTTCTCTTGATCGTTGTACCAAGAAAACCATAAAGTCAGATATAGACAGAGGTGGATGATTCCTCCTGCGAGCGTCCAAAACACGTTAATTGATCGTGATTCATGCTTCACACTCATGCATGGTAAACGGCCCTTGTGTTGTGGCTTTGATTTGAATGCAAGTGTTTTCCATTATTCCAACTTGAATAGCTTTCAATCAAGCACGCCTTGACATTTTCAACTCATTGGCATTTGGCACCCAAAATAAAATAGAGACTGATAACGAATTAAAACAAAAAAACATATTAGCATATTTTTATTATGAATTTTAATATATGTATTTTTTATTTATTGATTCTTTAACCAACATCCATAGAATATTGGTTAACAAGAAAGGAAAAAAAAAAAAGAAGAGACAATTATGGTAAAGGTTCCTTACATGCATATCATCAGAGTACCCTATAAGGCTATAAACAACATTCTACTACTCTTTCTTCTTTCTCCTATCGTGAGTCAGGGTCCTCACTTCAGGACTAGGATTGAGGACAGACAGATTAGCATATATTTGCATAATGCCTAATGACACTTGATTTTGCAACATGCAGTATACTGCATTGAAGTTCCAATCAGCAGCCAAAGATATATAGATTCAGTTTATTTGAAAGACAAAGTTATTACAATTTATTATTATATATAATTATTTTATCTTTATTATATACACGCACTTTAAAAATAAAGCAAAGAGACAACTTAAAATTGTCCAAAAAAGTTGTTAAAAAAAAGACATTTTCCTTTTAGATTAGATTACATATTACCTTTTATTAAACCCTTCTTAATGAATCATTCAGTATACACCCTACAAGCTAATCGTATCATGTTGCACAACAAAATCTACCCTACAGTTCCTTCTACGTCATGATGGAAAAAAATGTTATTCCAATGTGAAATCAATAATTCATCTACCTGTAAGTTTTATTGCAAATTCAATGTCAATTTGTAAAAAGGACAAAATTAGGAAAACTTTACAATATATATATAACATACTACAAAATTGAGTAAACCAAATTCAGATACAAAAGCACCAGCGTTTGCAGCTATTTTGACTTTTACAAACAGTTGACAAAATTTAGAATATATACGTGCAATACTAAGATAAGTAAAATCTATTAGATAACATGTGTGTGATATGATTATGGGAAGGGATTCACGTATATAGAAACGCTCAAGTTTCAAGGATATATTTAAGTATTGCAATGTCGAGTAAGAGGTTGTAGATAAGCTGTGGTGAATCTAGCATGGGCAACAACATCATCAGCACTTTTTCTACGAGGCCGAGAGCCATTAAGGGAACGATTTTGATTGTTTGCGTTTATATGGGGAACCTGAAGCTGCTCCAAATTTATGACAACCTCGTCCATGTTTGGTCTCAACTTGGATTCTGTTGCAAGGCATTGTAGAGACAGGGTAGCTACTTTATGGGCCTCGTCTAATGCATATTGGCCTTCAAGACGGTTATCCAATACACGTAAAAGCTTATGCTTGTTGGCTAGGTATGGTTTGGCCCATTCCACCAAATTTTGCTGTCCCTTTGGTCTATTCTTGTCAATAGCCCTTCTCCCTGATAGCATTTCCAACAGCACAACTCCAAAACTGAAGACATCACTCTTAGCAGTGAGATGACCTTCACCAACAAAGTTTAGTCATAAGCCTTTGTTGAACCTTCAATAAATTCATGCAATCAAAATATAAATGCAATATAAATGACTTTAACATTAATGAAAAATGTTAACTTCAGGTTAAATTTAAACTGTCAATAATAATAAGATTTTATTAAAAAAGAAAGTATTTATTACACTTTTTCTATTTCAATAAAAACTTATTACTTTTAGATGTTAAATTCAGTCCTAAGAATTGAAGTTAACAAAATCCAACATTAATTTAGTCTTTAAAATTGATACATCAGTCAATTTGATCTTTGACATCCCAAAATGGCATAATTAGTCTTAACTTTAATAACAGTCAATCACTTTGATCCGTAATGTTACCAAATTAATTAATTTTGTCCCTTTGATAAAACCACTTAATTTATAATGTTTCCGACTTCAAGACCAAATTAATGCTTTCTGTAATGTAAAAAATCAAGTTAATTAGTGGTGCTAATTTCGGAAACTAAATTGATGTTTACTCAAATATAAATGGTTTAAGAACATGAACCCCACAATACCTGTGGCTAGATATTCAGGAGCTGCATATCCGTAGGTTCCCATTACCTTTGTGGAGACATGACTATTATCACCGCTTGGTTCGTCCTTTGCCAGCCCAAAATCTGAAAGCTTTGCATTATAATTCTGTGATCATATCAGTAAGGAAATCTTCAGATATAAGATCAAAACAATTTCCTCTATTCATCATTCCTAATTGTCATGTCATGTGTGTGTGTGTGTGTGTGTAAAGGACACATACTGAATCCAGCAAGACATTTGAAGTCTTAAAATCTCGATATATCATTTTTGTTTCAGCTCTGTGAAGAAATGCAAGCCCCTTGGCAGCACCAAGAGCTACTTTCAAACGAAGGCCCCAAGAAAGTGGTTGGAAGTATGAGCCTCCTGTTATAACAACATTGCTAATGTTAGGCACACTTCTCATGTTCAAAACAATGTGCAAAACAATGGGCAGGAAGAACTCACTCATGAACAAGTGATTCTCCAAGCTACCACGAGGCATAAATTCATATACCAGAAGGCGATTTTTATCTTCAAAGCAATATCCAATCAATTTCACTAGATGAGGATGTGAAAGCTGGCCTAGATAGTTTACTTCAGCCTAAAATTAAAAATATAAGGAAAACCCTTGTAGATGTAGCAGAAACAATATCCTATTAGTTCTCCAATCATTACTAATACTATTACATAACATTAGTATGTTACTATAGAAATTGTATCACCCGTATAATGTAGTCATGTAAACAAATTGAGTTTAGCTTAGAAGAGAGACATGGATGAGATAAGGCACCTCGAGACTTGCTTCGTGAATCATACCATGCCTTGCCTATAAGGTAAAAATATTCTCAAACATATATCAATAGTTAACCACGTAACAGAGGAAGCGTTTGCTTCTTTCTTAATTAGTATGAGCAAAGCAGAGGATTTAAAGAAACAAATTGAGAGTTGAACTCACCAACCACTCCTTGTGACATCGGAAGCTCTCCTGATTAAGTCTTTTCACAGCAACAACAATGCCCGTGCCAGGTTTGGCAGCTGAAAGTGAGTGATCATCAATCCAACCCTTAAAAACTGATCCAAAATCACCTCCTAACACACTATCTGAACGGAAATTTCTGGTTGCAGCCGTAAGTTCTGTCAAACTAAAGCTTTTGAGATTGGATGACTCCAAAATCTCACCCTCATTCTTTGAAGTCTGGGGCACCGAGACTTCACTACTTGGGCTGATGACATCATTGTAAACTTCATTACATGGATTGAGATCTTTTTTATTGGCACTCACATACTTTGAACTTAACCCTGAGATGATAGCAACACAAACTTTCATTAACTACATATCACATATCACATATATGTTTGGCTATTTCATAATAATATATCATATGACATACATGTATCATTGACTTATCTAAAAAACTGGATTTTAATCTTTTGACAATGTTATTGTTACGAATCATATGAGGTAGATAAAGAAAATAGACCAGGTCTTAAGGTTAAGAGCTACTTGTTAAAAGCACTGAAGGTGCACATAACTTCACATTATATCGAAAGAAGACATATGGATCAATGAAACAACTGAATAATCAACTCATTAAACAATCGCAAGAGCAGGGAAGCTAAGCACTGTCAAACCCACTTTAAAACCAGAGGGGATAAGAAAGAGGTGGAGTAGAGTGAAATAAAAGTGGATGAGAATACTAAAACCAAACAACACATAAGCACAAGGATCTAATCTAAACTCAGTTCAAAGGCATATAGGGTGGAGGCAAAGATAAAGGAAAAAAAAAATTGGAATACCAGTGTTAAATGGGCTCTCAGTTTTAATTTGGGTGCTAAAGCAAACCCCCATGTCAAAAGGAACCCCAATTCCTTGACCCTTGTGGCCTATAGATCACAAAAAAAGCAGACATACTATTAGGTCGAGCAAAAACAATGATCATGGACTGAAAACCAAGGGAAGAGAAAAAAGGAGTTATACTAAAACAGGAAAGAGAGAGAAGCTGAGTGAGAGGAATAGGATATAGGAAGGAGAAAGGAGGGAGGTACAGGGGAATAGCAGAGGAGTGTGCTGAGATGTTGAGGAGTCATTAATATTAGTGGTTATGAAGTGGTGTGTGGTCCAGAGAGAGAAAAACTATTCAAACGTTAAAGAACAAGTTGACCAAAAGTTTAAACTAAAAGCTTGGAAGGATAAGAAAAGACATTAGACATGGAGGAAGAAGGAAGGTGGGTATGGTCACTCAAGTGGCATTGCGTTCATTGCATGGCATGGTGTCATGGTGTAATGGACCCCATTTTTTGTTTTTCTTCATTGCAAGGTCCCTCCCTTTGGATCTTGTTGCTATGCATGAAACAAATCTACTATAGATTTATCACTCAAATTATCTATCTCTACCCATTCATTCTTTTTCAAATCTATGTTAAAAAATAGGATTGCAACAAATAATAATGAAATCAGTTATTCTCTGTTTCACTATTTGATATAACTGTCTAGTAAAATTTAAGTATCATAATTATAAAAATCACAAAAACTATTTTTTATAAAAGCACTCACACTTGAAAAATTCATACTTTTTACGAAAAATCTTCATCAATCTTTTAAAGTGAATATATAATAATATTTAAAAATAAAACAATCAATTAATAGTAAATAAGAAATAAATAATTCATCACCTCCGCAAGGTATAAAGACTATAGAACCAAGAAAACGAAAAAACCTTGCATGAGCACTGTCATATGCTGGATTTGGCTGTCATCCATCTAATTATCATCTTTGGACAAAGAGAAAAGAAAAATCTAATTATTATCTTCGGTGATGGCAGGTTCCTTGGTTTGGCTTCTCTTGTATTTCCATAATTTGGAGTCTGAACCGTACCATGCTTAATACTCTCTCAAGGTTGCTACCTTCTTTGTCTTGTGTGCATGCTCACTATCAATGGACCCCTTCCACTTTTGCCACTTGGTACTGTAATGTCCACGACACGTTACGCAACTGATGGTGAACACGCCCCCGTTTGTCCTCTTCTACTACCCAATCAATCATTTTATAATTCACTCTTGTTCTTTGCTAAGGTTTCCATTAGTCCATTTTAGTGAAATTTTGATTAAAAAAGTTTATATAATTTTATAACTATGTATAAGATAAGTGTTATTTTAAACAATTTTTCATTTTATTGTTATCAAGCAGTTCGATTAACTTATTTAAAGAAAATTATCAACTCTGGCATAAGCTTGTTTTTGCTTTTGTGTAAACTTGTCTTTGATTCACGTAACAACATCCATAAATTTCAAAATCAACGTCACCAGATTTACATAAACACGCTGTATACAATCCTTAACAATAATTTTTTATTATATATATAAACTTTGCCAAATGAAAATAAATTCATATTATTTAATCCAAGAGGTTTGTTCATAGTAGAAAACTGCACGAAAGTTACGTGATTTATGATGATTGGTTAAATGTTAAAAAAGTATTATTTGACGGAAATTAAGTCTTAGCAGTAATATATATTTTTCGTAAAATTTCATTTCGTAGTTATAAATCGTGACTTCATAATATACAACATATTGTACACAGTGTTAGGCTGCATTTGATATAATTCAAGATACTTTTTTTTAAAAAAATCAATTTAGTAAAAAATAATTTTGTTTTAAGCTACAAAAATTTATTTAAATAAATTTGATAAAAAATTAATTTTCACTTAATTCAAAAAATTTACTTAAGTTAAAATTATAAAAAAATTTAAAATTTCATCTCCTTCTTCTAAATTTTGAAAAATCTTTATTTTTTTTATCGATGACTACCTAGTTATCAAAGTTTTTTACATATATCATCATACTAAATATTCTAAATATATTATTTAGTGTGCTATTTGTATTGAGTATTAGTGAGATAGAATTATTTAAAATTGAATTAAATTGTTAAGAGTAATGATATATATTATAAGAATAATAATTTTGAGAAATTGATTGAAAAATAAATGACCATATGATATTGGATAAATTTTTTCAAATTTTACATAATTTAAAGAAAAAAAAGATAAAGTTTTAAAATCTTTTATAATTTTGATTTAAGTGAATTTTTTTATTTAAATAAAAATTATTTTTCACTAATTTGCTTAAATAAAAATTATTTTTGTTAAATTCGTTTAAATAATTTTTTTATTTAAATAAATTTAAACTACATATTGCAGTTTTCGCTCAAACCGTAAAGAATCCAGATCCTATGATTCCTGGGTGTTGGAAACACGTGATCTAATAGAAAAAAAATATCGTATGAGAAGAAAGGTGCCAAATTGGAAAACAAAAACAAAAAAAATTGGTCAAGGTCAATTACACTTTGCCTAGCCCCACAAGAAAGGTGATGTGCTAAGCTCTAATTGAGAGATTAAACGATGCATAATCCTGAAGCCAAACACAATTATGTTGTATTCTCAGTTAATTGTGTTTATTTTCTAAGAAAAAATTATTCAAAATAAGTATTTTATATTTAAACAAATAACAAAATATTTTCGAGATAATATTTGTATTAATTTTTTAATCTACGTATGTCTAGAACCCATCTGTTTTTCTGTTAGACATTTAAAATATAAAATTTCATTTATTATCTATAATACATAAATGTTTTTATTGGTTTGTTTATGGATACAAAAATGCTATGTTCATAATACACGATGAATTATGCAAATGCATAATTTATTATTATTATTATTGTTAAGGTAACTTAGCAGGCAAATATATACTGATTTAGGGGAACACTTAGAGGCCACTCAAAAATGACGTTTTTTAAATATAAACTTTGGTTACCTATCAAGTGCGGCTTACTATCACACTCAATTCAACGTCACTGGGTTAGTTGATTATTTGGATTTTATGCATGAAAAATAAAATAAAAAACTATTAAGAAAAGTAATAATACCAGGATAATCTCCCTTTCTATTCACACCAAAATTAAAATAAAAGATATTTTGTTTAAACGAATATTCGTTATGAGAAATATAAATGTTAACTTTTTCATACATCATGTTCGAACATGATATTTATTTGCATTCTAATATTTTCCTTATGAAAAGTAAGATAAGTATTATGTTATAATATTTCACAAATAAAATTTCTCATATTTCTATAATTTTTATTTTATTGTAAGTTTGATGCAATGTTTTAAAATTAATTACAAGACATGAGCAACGAGTTTAAAACAAGATTTCAGATTCAAATAAAATAGATAATTTAGTAAAAGTCATTCTGTAAAATAAATGAGAACATTAAGGTAACAAATATTAAATATCATTTTACAATGCATGAAATGAAGTCACCAATAACGCATACATATCTCCAAACCATATAAGGATTCATGTATTGTTAATAAACATGAATATAAAGTCACCGTTCTGTATGAATAAACCTACTGTTTAGTTTTCTGAAATAATGGAATAAGAACAGAAATTTAAAATTATCCATTTTCATGCTTTCTCTAGGTGATTAGAATGGAACATTATTTCAACCATTTCAAGAACAGGTATTTCATTACAAGTGATAGAACCCTTTTTTTTATTGCTTTACATAAGTATATATTTTATTTCGCCAAAATACAAAATGACTGAACACATCTAATCCACTTGTTAATCTTCAAAATTGGACATATCATATTTTCTTAGGCCTAAAGATATTGCACGATCCGACCCTTATATTCCGGCCCAAAAAACTATTTAGCCTTTATAGCATAATGCTTTTGACAAAAAAATAAAACCCACATGCACACAATGGTGGTTAAAGTTTAAATTTTTAAAATATTAAGTAGAAAAAAAAAGTGCAAAAAACCTTTCTCACGACCTTTTTATTTGAAAATTACCATAGATCCAGAAGCAACCACCACCAATTTCCAAACTAAGCAATTAGAAATATAAGGGATTACGAGTCATTGAGTTTAAACATATAAAATTAATTGTGATTAAATACATTTGAGACAATTCAATATGATTATTATGGACTTAAATTAGTTTGAACTTCATGATTTTATGAAAACATACATCATTTGCTAAAAAATACAAAAAATTGATTTTATAACTTTTAACCAAACGAACCTAAAAGCTGTTATGTGCTCTGGCAAGTGACCATTTCCACTGCTGTCCTAGACTACCTTTGACGGATTACCCAAACCCATGTAACCTCACACCAGAACCGAGGGTATCTAAAATTTTCTGCTTGTATTTCGCACTTTTTCACAACAAATCGAAAGCAATTGGGTCTGGAATGAACCTTTTGGAAGAAATTGGGGTAGTTTGTAATGGTGATAATCTCCATAAAGAAGGGACAAAAATGATAAGTAGTGAAAAAACCCAATCAAGTATCAGGATTCTACAGTACAGTGATTGCATCTTCATTTTTCATGAATTTATTAACCACGAATGATTGTGTACTCGTAGCAAATTAGCACTCCCTAAGTCGTTTATCAAGAGCAAAATTATAACTAAACGAACTGTGTTCAAAATAATTATAACAAAAAATCAACACTTTTCCATTGGAAGATGTTAACAGGCATCAATCTTGTGTTGCAGCTCCTTGGTTGAGCTCAGCAAACCTCATGCCAACACGCATAGAATGCTTCAGAAATTTCTCTGCACATCTTCTAACACAGGTTTCCTCTTGCTTTTGCAGGGATTTATGCTTAAATGTGTCAACACAATCGTTAAAGCACCTCTCCACCAGTGAATTGTACATTCTCAAACTGCAATGAAACTTAATCATAATCAGGTTCCCCATCTTAAATCAAGCAACGGGTCAAGTAAAGAAGCAAATGATACACTGCAACAGCACCAAAAATACAAGAGCCTTTGACTTGATGATGTTATCACTTATCCTACCAGGACATGGTCTAAAATAAAAAGGTATTTTATAGTCACCAAATGATACACCGCAACAGAACCAAAATTACAGAAACCTTAAACTTGATGATGCAATCACTCATCCTACTAGGCCATGGTCTAAAATACAAAGTCACTTTATATGTTCAAACATTTACATTTCACAGAGAAGATAAACAGCAAAAATGTCATAATTTCCACCATAATGAAGAATACAGCAAAAATACAAAGTCACTTTATACTGAAATTTTAGATGTTCAAAGGTGGAAAGCTTCTTTTTACAAGGAAGTGTAACATTAAATGTTACCAATCCACCTCCACCATAATTTCTATTTATAAACAGCAAAATGGAAACTAACAGAGAGGGTTGAAGGAATGAAACTTATTTCTAAACATGTTATCATCCACGGGTCAAAGGTGCTGAAGAAACAAAACTAGGAACCCGGAATTAACATATTTTCCTAAACAAATAACAGCTTCTGTGCAATGAACAATGCCAATAGTAACCACATCAGACCAAAACCTAATTTTAGGACATGATAAATGATAGCAAAAATTAATCACTCATTCAGTGAAGGCAACAACCAAATACAGATAAATAATAAACCTAATCACTTCTAACAAATGTTGTTCCCAAAACGTCCAGAAGCAACATGTGACTGTTGCCCTGGTTTTAAGGAGAACTTCACTATAGCTTCATAGAAACAGCACACACAAGATTTGAAACTTTTGTGCTGCCCATTACTAACAAAGTAATATGAAGCCCCAAAATCTAAAAAGGAATCAACAAATCATGCCCATACAGCAGAAAAAAAATAAATGTATCAAATTTGAGGCGAAGGAAACAAAAAGATGAAATTCTGAAAGCGGGGATGGAGAACCTGTCACGGATTTGGAGCTGATCGATCATGGTAGACATTCTCTGCTTATCTGCCTCAGGAAGCGAATCCAAATCCGCTAACATGCTCTTGTCCATTATTAATCAATCGATTAATCACCGTCTAGGGTTTTCAAACAAAGTAGCCACGAAATTGTGATTCTGTTCTGCCGATGGAAGTAAACCCTAACTCAATAGTGAAGAAGACAATATATATAGGTCACACGAAACTAGTTGCTACTTAATCTGTGCAGGGTTTGAACTTTGAACTAAACGCATCGTTGCATGTTTTGTTTTTTTTTTTTTTGTGTGTGTGTGTGTGTTCCAAATAAAAGTAAAGAATATAACTTAAGAGGGTTAAACATTTTAGTATTAAATTTTTACTTAAACATGGCGTAAGTACTTATTTTATAAAATTAAATGATAATCTGTAGATACTTTTCATTGGATTAATGATTTTACAATAATAATTAAAATTTAATTAAGTAATTATTTGTAGAAAACTTTAATTTTTTTTTAAAAGACATGTTCCAAAAAATTAGCTGGATATGTATCTGCATGAAGAACGGGTATACTTTTTTTTCTATATTAAAAATTCGAATTTACGATATAAAAGGATGGATTTCAGGATTATTTTCTATATATAATATTTTAAAATAATATATACTAAAATATAGGGGGGAAATACGAAAAATATAAAAAAAATTAAACAATATGAAAATTTTTGAAAAAAAATATTTTTTTAAAAAACTTTAAAAATGTAGTGTTTTTTTAAATAAAATACTAAAAAACGTCATTCGCAATTTTTTTGACAATTTTTACAAAAAAAATCGTACATTCTCAAAACTTTTACACCAAAAATCATCATTCTCAAAATTTCATATTTTAGTACTTAATTTTTTTCATATAAAAAACTATGATTTAAGTTTTTATTTTTCTTTTCTCTTTTCGTCTAAATCTTTTTTCTTTTGATCTAAAAGGTGGCCGAAGGTAAACAATTAAGAGCAACAACAACACAAGAAAAGTCCATCATGTTCGAATTTATTTTTTTTTTGTTCTGAGTCATGTTCAAGTCAATCAAATATATTGTTGGGCTAATTTTATTTTTTAAGCCCAAAAAGATTGTTTAACTCGGACAATACTGCCGTCTCGGTCCAAATTGGATTAGCAAACCATTTAAAACTAAAAAATATATGACCAAAAATAAATAAAAAACTTTAAAAACTATATTTAACAAGAAAAATATATATTAAGCTTTTTTTTAATCAATTAAACATATAAAATATATAAAAGAACAAATGATTAATTCTAGTATATCCATATAAAAATATAGAAATAGATATTCTATTCTACACTTATTTTTTCTTACTTCCATTACCCTTTCTCAAAAAATATTCAATCAAATCAACAAAACGCAACCAAATTAATCATGTTTACCTGAAAACATCTTGCAGTGAGTAGCTCATATCTATATCAAATACTAAAATATCATATGAATCAATAAAAATTATAAAAAAAGCAAAATTATAAGAAAAATTCAATTTGAAAAAACAATCTAGAAAACTAAAATGAATAAAATAATGTTACATGGTTAAAGTAAAACTTAGAATACTTAATTGACTTAAAAAATTTAAATGATCAAATAACAAATTTGAGAATGTTAGGATAAAAAGTATAATGTAGCATTAAATTAATAAAAGTTAAAAAATTAAATGTATAATTTATTGATTATAATTTACATTAATAATAAATTATTATTATTTAAAATGATCAAGAGGATTTGAAAGAGTAATTACAAGTAGTTTTTTTTAATAAATTGCAATCTTTTATAATTAAAAAAGAATTATATCATAAAAGAAATTTTTTAATTATTGATTTAGAGTGAACTCTACACAATTGCACATGAACCTAACTCTTGAGTCGACTTGGCCTCAAACTATATACCTATCACATTTGACATGACAACTTCGCTTGAATATAAACATACTATAATTAAGTTAATCTCTAATTATGGTACCCCATATACTCCTGTCTCACTTAGCATGACTTTACTGTACTCCTCTCTTACTTTGGCGTTATCATAATAAAGTATTCACCTAATTAAAATACACATACTTATAAATAAAATTAGGATGTTACTAATTAGTTATTATTTTTTCTTATTTATGCATTGAAGTGATTATTGTAAACATACTTTGTAGTGCTAGAATAGCGTCTCAAGTATCAAGATTATTGCAGAACACACACAAAGAACTCATAATTTTCTTTATTTAAATTGAGATTAATTTGAGAGGGGCACACAAGCGTGTGAAACAAAGAAACGAGAGATAAAAAAACACATAAGCAGGCGATTGTCAAAGTTGTTGATGGCATAGAATGAAATGTGAGAGAAAACGCGTAGATGATTTGCTCCTTCGTGCTTAGGGCTAATGACAGTGACTATGGTGCCTATTGCTTCTGTATAGTCAAATCTCATGGATTATGTATGCTCAATGGCTGGCATTCTATTACTAAAATATCTCTCTTTCTGCTCTATTTTTTAACTTCATGGCTTCTGTTGTATTTTTGGTCTTCTCCTTCCATTCACATTTCCCACATCATACTTTTATTGACTTTCAATTCATACTTGACATTCTCTTTGCCCATTCAACTGCTCACACTTGAGAATCAAACAAGGTCCACTTTTTAAAAAGTCCAACTTACCTAATGGTAAATCAAAATATATATTTCTTCAATAATGCCCACTAGTTCAATAGTTAGTTTAATTTGGTGAAAAAAGAGAATTTAATTTGGATTCATAAATAATATTTGTAGTCTTTTGTAATATATATATATTTATATAATCACGAACAGATAACATTTAGATATTGATTTTAGTAAAGTAATACTTTTAATTATTTTTTTATTAAAAATAAATTATCATTAACCTATACGTTCAAATTAAATTTTTATAGAATAAACTAAAGTTTATGAATACTAATTAATTAATACCTTATTACTTATTATATTTTAATGTACCAATAGATATTTGAAGTGTAAATAAATAGTTACTGTGTGAATATGTGATAATTCAATGACTACATTGGGAATGAACTAACGAGAAAATAAAACTTATGATAGAAAAATAAACATTAAACTTAATGGGATGTGAACTACGAAATCATTAGTTACTGAAGTATGTATGACTTTTGAACAAACTTAAACCATTTAATTTAATTCATTTTTCTTATACTTATTAACTTTCCTCGCTTATAAAATCTAACTCCGTATGGGAACGAATTTGGGAGCACTTGAAAAGACAAGCAAAAGTGAAATAGTAGATAAAAAAAAGTTAAATAAGAAGGATTTTTTTAAAAAAATAAAAATGTTGATTAGATAATAGAAAAGGGGGATTCAGATAATTAACTATCAATTTGAGAGTTGAGACTGACATACAAAATTTTAAACTTGTAACTATTGATATTTATTGAAGATTTTGGGTTCTAAGCATAAATCCTTCTTCTGTAAACCAATTAAAAAGTGTGTTGCTAATGAAAACAAAATTCAACCTTATAAGAAGTGTGAGCATGAATATAAATTGACTAATGAAAACTGGATAAGCGTCTTAAAAAGTGGTTATTATCAAACTAAGTTCAACATATTAATCAATTGCATTATAGTTTATGAGGAAAGAATTATCTCTTCTGAGCAGTATCACCATTTATTATTTAATCTACTCTAGATTTTTACTAAAGGCAAGCACGTTGTAGTGCTGGAAAAAAGCAAACCGTGAATTGCATTTGCATTTGCATTTGCATTGCAATGAAAAAGGAATATAGTGTTAAAAAAAATATATATATATAATTAAGTATCAAGCCATATAGACATAATGGGTGAAGTGGAGAGCATTAGGAAGCATACCAAATCGTTGTGGGTAGAGAACCGAAAAGGTCCACCATGTAATAAGAGACATCGCACTAAGCTTAATTATGTTATTTGTTTCCTAAAAAAAAGAATGACAGCAATGGTTTAAGTCTGAAATTCTCTCAAGTGGAACAATTTCTAATCGTATATAATAATATTAAATTTAAGTCAAGTTTAAGGATCCAAAGCTAGATTATTATATTATTAACATTCCTTTCACTAAGCAGCTGACCCAATGTCTTAGGCCATAGTGTTTCTTCTAGAGACGTTTAAAAAATTCCAATTGCAATTGTGCTACCAAACATTGTTTGAATGCGCAACTAGTTAAGATTTTTTTGAGCCTCAATTGCTAATATAATAACTGCCATTTACATTAAATAGTCATGGAAAAGCTATGTATAAGGATAGTGATATCATTATCAAAATGAATATGAACTACCACTTCTCCTATTAGTGAAATGTAAAATTTTTGAGTCGTCTCAACCAAGATAAAGATATATGCCCAACTCAATTTTTTTCTATTGTATGTTGGATAATCTTATTAAATGTTTTTAGATCATTCATGCCAAAATAAAATTACATCATAAATATATTAAAAATGATAATTTTTTTTACGACAGAATTTTTACTTTTATCACTACATGGTTTATGTATATATTTTTTTTTTGGAAATATTAAATAATGATTAAAAATCAAAAGTAAAACAGTATAAAAATAATATTAATATATTTATTTATAACTTTTCAAATTTTTAAATGTATTTTTAAATTTTTAGTTTTTTAATTAATGTTTTAAAACATTAATTAACAAAACATATTTTAATCGGTTTGTGTGCAACTGTTAATAAAAAGACAAAAGCGCAAAAGGTAGGTGGGCCATGCAAATGGATTGTGGAGAAGGTGGCATGGGAAGGTCTTGCCACTTGCAAATAATGAATGATGATGGCATTGAATCCTCGCTCTTAGTAGACAATAGCAAATTAGTAATGCTACATATAACTAATAATTGATCTATATAAACCCAAATTATTTTCACACTACATATTTTTACTTATTTATAAAACTGTGTTATTTTGTATATAAATCTATAAATTAATTATGTAACTATCTTTACATATCCTTTATTGTTAACTATATTTTATACTACAAGTTCTGTTTTTATAAAAATAAAACAAAACTTTTGATTCGTTGAGAATATAGTTTCTTGCTTATGAAATACGTGGAATAATTTGGCACCCTACGTTTTAAAAATATTTGGGCTTGAACATAGAAAGCAATCGCACACCTAAAACTATTTGGCTATGTGATTTGTCTCGAAATAAGGCACAGTGATTTTAATTAATTGACAAGTGTCCAAATTTTATAAGTTCCTTATGTTCCCACCCACAGGCGAATTGGTATATTTTGGGAACATTACCACAAGCCAAGTCAGACTTCCTTGTAAGTTGCGGATTTATTCAAGAACAAAGTAATCTATGCTGATTCTCGCGCAAACTATAAATGCTTTATAAATAATCTTTTTTCATATAACACTTGATGATGTTGATTATGGTTTTGAAAGCAAGATTCATAGCAAAAGTAAACAGCTAATCATAATTAATTTATATGGGGCCGAAATTTTTTAGTTTATTTTTTATATATAACTCTATTTTATTACTAGCTGTATACATACGAGGTTTAATAAATACGGATTTTTCTCATTGCTGTAAAGAAAAAAAAAGTGACAGTATATATGAATTTGACACGTAGCAAAACAAAAGGTATATTGGTAAAAGTTATTTGAAAAGAATAAAATGAAGTGATACATTTGGGAATTGGCTGTATAAATTTTAAGTCAGTATTCACTTTTTCTTTTCCTTTAATTTATATGTGTCTATCAATATAATGCTTAAAAACGAGTACAAGACTAAGTCGTAGAAGATTTTCAGCAAGCATGAAAAACGATGTTAATTAGAAGAAACAGACAACAATTTTTTGGGGGGCTAATAACTGATTGGGACGTGAGAATTCTCTTCATGAAGGAATTGTTTATAGCTTAGAAGGATAAATTACCTGACTTTGTAAAGTAAGAAAAATCTTCCCCAAAAAGTCAAGCTTAAGATATTTATTTTACTAAATTTAATTCTTGTTGGAAGAAACAACAAAATAGCCACTCATGTACATATAATTATAAAAAATAAAAATTGAAAAAAAATTAAAAGTGTTATTTTTAAGTGCATACCTGTGATAAAGTTGAATATGTTTAAACATATTTCTTAATTAGTTTGGTTAACAGTATTTAGCAAGAGTATTTATAAAGCATAGTTGAATATAATAAACAAATAAAGTATGTCTTCCATGGGAAGCATCATCAAAGACATTCCAAATATGAACATTGAATTAAATAAAAAAAGTCAATGGAGTAATGGGGCTACATTTAAATCCACATTAGTCAAATTACCTAAATATTCAGGCTGTGCAGTGATGGCAGCATTACTAACATCGAACCACCCCACCAACACATTCAATTAACCTCAGCCAACCTTTCCTTTCTCTCTATTTCTCTTTTTCCATTTCAATTAAAACAAAAGGCCGAAATTCTTGACAATTTTTATATATAATTTTTGTTTTTATTACTTATGAAGCGAGCCGAACTCGGAAACCTCGAGTTGACAAATTTTCAGCAAAGGCAATCAAATGGCGCCACGTGGTAGTCAACCTTTTATTTCTTCGACACCCTCCACTTGATCCAACGGCGACCGTGGCACGCTTTTCTATATCCATTTTTTAAAATAAACATATAATGATTAAAAAAATTGCCCCTTCCGTGTTGACTTTTCGATTCCTAACAAGAATTTATGACCTTCATTTAAATTTCACCCTCTCTTTCTTCCAAACACAACAAACAAACACGACAACGCTCTCAACATCAGAATCATTCATCGTTCCCATCCGTGACCCTCCCCCGCGAATCTCATCCACTTGCCAAAGAGCGTGCATGTCACGCTCCACGCCAAGCGTAACCGAACAAAAAACAAGATATCAAAACCGGACATAAACCTTTGAGTTTTACTTTATCTTCAGCATAGTCAACGCCCCACTCGAAAAAATCCCTATCTTTTTAATTAGGACTAAATTTATAAATTTAGTCCTAATTGAGAGTAGTTTATGAATTGATTTTTATATTTTAAAAAGTTACTTTAATTTTTATAGGGGCACTATATTTTAATCTTGTCATTAACTGATAGTGACTAAAATATAAAATAATGTTATTGTATAAATAAATATTAATACCTGAATTAAATATTAACTTTAACTAATAAAAAATATTTTAGTAAACTTGTTTAAAATAATACAAAATTAAAATATTAAATAAAGATATACAATTTTATGAGAATAAAAATACATATATTTAAGTTAAATTTTATTATTTATAATTTAAAATTATATATTTATTAATACAGAACTTGTTAATTTGATGAATATATAAATTAATTAAAAAATTATAATTATAGCTAATAACATATTAAAAATAATTTAATATGACATATTTTTTTATTACAATTGAAAAAATATTAAATATACTCAAGTGCTTTTTTTTTTAAATTATTTGATAGAAATTTTTCATAAATATTAATTAATAACATTTTCATATAATAAAAATTTATAAATTTATTCATTTGATAAATTTAATCATAAGTTAAATAATGATATAATTTTACAAATTAAAAAATGATATAATGATATAATGATATAATTTATAAAACTTAATATTTCATTGTTTATAAATTGATATAATTACATATTAAAAAATTATAATAAAAAATAATGTTAAAATTTTTTATTTATTTAACTAAAAAAATGTACAAAAATAAAGTTAAATAAAAATTTTATTAACAAAGACTCAATGTTATTATAAAAACAAAATTGGATTATAATAAGTTTTTTTAACTGAATTTTATATTTTTTTAAAAAATTATAATAAGTTAAAATATAGTTTAATTTTTATATTTAATATATTTCTAAATTTATATATTTTTAAAAATTATATTTTAATTTATATACAAATATTTTATATACAATTAATCACATTCAAATAATAAAAATTAAAATATAATAAAACACTTATGCATAAATCTGTAACTTTTTTAATGATAAAATCTAATTTATAAATAAGTATAAAACGTTGAGATTATATGTATAATATTAATTTTAATTATTTTTTATAATTAATTATTAAGAAAATAGCGAGTGCGTTTTCACAATTTTAAAAAAATCCGATATTCGAAAGTCAACGCCCTCTCTCTCTCTCTTCTTCTCTTCTCTGCTTCAACTTCTCTTTCTTCAGATCTGGTCATCTCTCTCTTATGCTGTCTCTCTTTCTCTCTATCTAGTTCTTCATCTTCTACACCATGAATAAGGGGTTGTAACAAGTAGTAGCAAGAAGCAAGAGCAACCTTCTAACTCGTCCTTGTTTTGTATTTTTTTAACCGGTGATTTTCGTGTTCCGATGGGTAACGGGATAGGGAAGTTAACGGTGTGCTTCACCGGCAACGGTGGCGGGGGTCGTCGGAAGCAGGACATATCCATTTTAATAACGGAGCCGTTAGACGAGGGACTGGGTCACTCTTTCTGCTATGTTCGACCCGACCCGACACGGATATCGTCGTCGAAGGTTCACTCTGAGGAAACGACGACGTTTAGAACAATCTCAGGCGCATCAGTGAGCGCGAACACGTCGACACCGTTGTCGACGGCGTTCGTGGACCTCTACTCGTACGGTTGCATAGACAGAGCCGCGGCGTTCGAAAGTTCAACCTCGTTCGCTTCGCTTCCTCTTCAACCGATTCCGAGAAACCTCATGAATTCCGGTCCCTTTTCCGGAAACCTTGGTGGTGGCGGCGGTAGTGGATTTCCGGTTTCGGGTCCTTTGGAAAGAGGGTTCATGTCGGGTCCGATCGAGCGCGGGTTTATGTCGGGTCCAATCGATCGCGGGTTGTTTTCGGGTCCGATGGAGAGGGATGGATCGGATCAGTTTCAGAGAAGCTTCTCGCATGGCGGTTTAGGGCTTGGATTGAGAGCGAGAACGAGGAAGGGGCGGTGGATTCGAGTTCTTCAGCGGGCAATTTCGAAGACTCTGTCTCGGGGGCAGAACTCGATCGTTGCTCCGATCAAAGGGGTGGTGGTGAAGGAGCCGGAGTGGATGGTTGCGGCGGCGGAGAAGCACAATGAGAATTTGAGTGTGAATTTGAGCAGTGAGGGTAGTTTAGAAGACGATGATTCAATGGAAAGTCAAAACCTTCAATGGGCTCAGGGGAAAGCAGGGGAGGATCGTGTCCACGTTGTGGTGTCTGAGGAACACGGTTGGGTTTTCGTGGGGATCTATGATGGTTTCAATGGTCCTGATGCACCTGATTATTTGCTCTCCAATCTCTACACCGCCGTGCACAAGGAACTGAAGGGATTGTTGTGGGATGATGGGTCTGCATCCGAGAATTCGATGCTTCTCACTGGTGTTGATGTTGGTTTGAAAGAGGACACGTTTGTGGGAGATTTAGATGCTTGTTCTCAGTGTGTTGAACGAGAGAATAATCGTCCTTGTCCAAGTGGGGATGCGGTTTTGAAGAGTAAAAGGGTTAAGAGTTCAAAGATCAAGTACAAAGGTGCTGCCAAGAAATGGGAGGAGAATCAAAGGAGGTGGAAGTGTGAATGGGATAGGGAAAGGTTAGAGCTTGATAGAAGATTGAAGGAGCAGCTATGTTTGAGTCGATCTGGGTCTGGTGGTGCCACTTCTATTAATCATTCCGATGTGTTGGAAGCTCTATCTCGGGCTCTCAGGAAAACTGAGGAGTCTTATCTGGATATTGCGGATAAGATGGTCATGGAGAATCCTGAACTTGCTTTGATGGGTTCTTGTGTTCTTGTGATGTTGATGAAGGGGGAGGATGTTTACGTGATGAATGTTGGGGATAGTCGAGCCGTGTTGGCTCAAAAGGCTGAGCCTGATTATTGGCTTGGGAAAATTAGGCAGGACTTGGAAAGAATCAATGAAGAGACAATGAATGATCTTGAATCGTGGGATGTTGATACGTCCAACTTGGTTCCAAGTCTAAGTGCTATTCAGCTTACCAAAGATCATAGTACATGTGTTGACGAAGTAAGTTGGTTTGCCTCACTTTGACTACTGTTTTGAGTGGCTTGTGTTTTGCTTCACATCTTGATTGAGAAATGTCTGGTTTTAATTTCAGGAAGTCCAGAGAATAAGAAAAGAGCACCCGGATGATCCTTGTGCTGTGGTAAATGAACGTGTGAAGGGTTCTCTCAAGGTTACCCGAGCATTTGGAGCCGGATTTCTCAAACAGGTTGGCGTCTTTTATCTACTATTCATTCATAGATACATCCAAATGTATTCTACTTTGCAGTTATCTTTAGTATATATGTCTAGGAATTCAACAAAAGGATGGGTGGGATATTTGAATGGTTTATGCATGCTATAACAGGATTATACTCTCTTCCACGTTCCATTTTGTTATCACTGAAGGTTCCTTGAATCCAGTAACTGCCCTAATCCGTGGAATATGGATGTAAAAAAAAAATTGCCACTGCTAGTATTAGCTGTGATACTAAAGCTAGGATTCATTCTCTTAGGGTGCAAAAATTAATCACAAATAAGTAACTTCTTTCATTTCACAAAAGTTGGAATATTGACATATTACTCTTATGCGATTATGAATTATCAATATAAGAACGATTATGCTTTCAATTTGGACACTACTTGCATTTTCTGATTGCTGGTTATCTTGTGAGCATTTGCAGCCCAAGTGGAACAATGCACTTTTGGAGATGTTTAGAATAGACTACGTAGGGAATTCTCCTTACATCAGCTGCCTACCATATCTAAAACACCACAGATTAGGCCCAAAGGACAAATTTTTGATTCTATGCTCCGATGGGCTCTATCAGTACTTGTCAAACGAAGAAGCAGTAGCTGAAGTTGAACTTTTCATCACATTGCAACCTGAGGGAGACCCAGCTCAGCACTTAGTTGAAGAAGTTTTGTTTCGTGCTGCAAAGAAAGCTGGTACTAATAACATCCACAATTTCATTCAAAGGATCTCATTCATAATTGCATTGTAGAAAACGATGGCTACTTGTGGGGTTTTACTAATGCTTTTGCCTTCTTAATCTTCAGGTTTGGTCTTTCACGAGTTACTTGAAATTCCACAGGGTGATAGGCGTCGTTACCATGATGATGTTTCCATCATTGTTATTTCTTTGGAGGGAAGGATATGGAGATCATGTGTATAAATAAAAATACTGAAAGCCATATGTTATTATATATATAAAAAGAAGAGGACATGAGATATATACTGCCGAAGGGTGAGGCATCCTTTTTGCTGTTTTCTCCCTCACTACTCACCCTTTGTAAAATACCAACTAAGCTCTTGGAGAGTGCCTAGTTGTGCAATTCAGTGAGTGGTGAGGATTGTAAAGTTGTAAAAGCTGGATTTTGTTGATTATAACTCACTTAAAATTGTAATTTTTGTAATAAAAGTCATTCCTTGAAAACCTTTTAGTCGTGCAGAAAGCACTATCACCCTCAGTCACTTTGTGCAACTCTGGTTGGCAAATGGCATGGCTAGTCATTTGTGCATTAGCATCTTTATTATTTTCAAAATAAAAATACCCTCAATAATATATTCCAAAATGCCTACAATAAGGTTCATGCAGGTTATGTTTGCCTTTCCAATTTGATGTGGATCAAGCACTATTTGCAATATGGCTTAGCCAAACGGTTTTTTTTCTTCTTCTTTGCCTTTTAGGTGTCTCCAATTGAACAAGATGCTTTTGGACTCTTATCAACTTGTGTGTTATAAAATGTGAGTTTATTATTTGAGAAGTATATCTACACGTTATTCTTCTTCATAATATGTAAATTATATATATATATATATATATATATATATATATATATATATATATATATTGCTGTAATAATTTTTATTTATTTTATTTTTTTTCTGTATTTTGAAGATTAAATTTGTTATTTAATTTTCTTTTATTATTTTATATAAATATTTAAATTTTTTTGTAAACACCTGATTTTACATTTATAAAAATTATCTTATAATTTTTAAATTTTTTTATTATTAATATTTAATTAAATTTTTATTATATATAATTGTTTATAAAAATATAATATATATAGTATGAACTACTAAACTAATATTTTTAAATTATTAAATTATATGAGTATTATTGCTAATTTGATGAAAAACATACGGTGGAATTTCGTACGAGACACGCCGTACGTCAAAATCAACTTTGAATTTTAGATTTTGACCTTTAATTCTTTTTTCCAGCTTTTATGGGTTGAGTCGTTGACGACACTTCATAAATGGCATGGCTCCGCGTAGGAAAGGGTTCATTGAACAATGAACTCAAAGTGAACAATCTCAACCAATTCTACCTTCAATCCTTTTTATGCAATTCCAACCATATCTCAGTTTATTCAAAAATCCCAATCACCATAAACGTGTCCTCGTTTCATTAATAAATTAATTAAACTAAATTATCAACTTTCTCAGGAAATTGATAACAAATTAGTTAATCATTTTTATAAAAATATATTTATCATATTAAAAATATAATCAAAATAATAAAAAAAACTGTCATTTTCCTTGTAGAGAAAGAGATTAGAAAAAACAAAAAAAAACCTAATTTTCTTAGCAAGAAAGAGATCAACTCTGTCCGTTTATGAACAATTTATGTCATTGATTAATTATTATTTTTTTATATAAAAAAAGTACAACTATCAATTCTTATGTATTAAATTTGATTACTCACTCTTAAACAAAAAGACTTTTTGATCTACTCTCTTTTTCAATTAGTACTGTAGCTTCTCTTATATTAATGTCTCCCTTTCTTACATTATTTATTCTTATTAATCGTTATTATTTAAATTTAATTAACCTTAATTTAAATTTAAATTGTAATTCACTATATCAAATTATTAGACATAAAAATGATGTTCCTTTGTTCAAATACTTTTTTTTTAATTTTTTCTCTAAATATTAAAATTTTCATTCTCTTTAATTTATTTTTATAAAGTGAAATAATTATCATTATTGAATAGCACATCTCTTATTATCAATTTTTTATTTTATCTTATTAAATCATTAACGTTTAAAAATATTTATGCAATGTAAGGAAAACTTAAATATTTACTAATTCTGTTTTAATTTGTCAAGAAATATTAACTAATTCCAATGGTTAAATTATGGCTTAGTGAAACTGGGGGCTCTGCTCCTCGTAAGAAATAATTTAAAAGATAATCAAAATTGAGAAATTATATTTGTACAACAATGTAAGAGATAGAGAGAGAAATTTTTTTTTATGAAATAAGATTTTGTTATAACAAAGAGAAGAAAAACATTTTCAGAAAATATTGTATAAATTATATAACATAAAAATTTAACAAGAGTGTAAAAAAAAATAAAATTTGTTGATAATGTTGGTTAATTTTTAATTATGTTCTTCATTTTGTAAAATATAAATAGTCATAATTTAGTTAAATAGAATAGATGCAATTATTTAATATTTTTATGCTATTCTCTAATTAAATTTTAATTTTAAAAATTAGTCAATCTTCAGTACTAATCTTTTTTATATTAATTATTAAAATAAAATTGTATCTTTAATTAAAAATAATATTAAAAAATCTGCATCTAAATTATATCTAAGTAAAAATAACTATTAATATTGTAAAAAACATAAAATTAATATAAAATTTTGTTAAGATACCTGATATTAACTAGTAATAAAATTAAAATACATCTTATAAAATTTTAATAAATCTCTTATTATAAATTAATTTTTAAAAATGAGTTAAATTTGATTTTTTAACATAACTCAAGAGTCTATTCAATTTTAAGTTAGATTTAATTTTTTAATAACATTAATCATGAATAACTATTCACATATATTGTTAAAGATTTAAAAATGAAAAAACCAAATAGAAATATATTTTTTTTAACTTTTAATTCCTTACCAACAAGACTTAGGCTTGTTAGTAAGAAAGATGGGAAACAAAGTTGCAGCAAAATAAGAAGCAAATATTTCAAAGTTCAAATTATTGAGCATGACATCTGAAATTGGTAATCCTTGTAGAGACACGTAGCTGGTCTTTCTACAATGAAATTAAATAAAATTTCTAACTTCTATCTAACATTTAACTCAGAATTAAATGTGCAGCAACAGGCAGAAGCTAATGAATATCTGTCACTTTATTATTATCATTAAATTCAAAGTCAGTGATTCATACTCTCCTCTCAGTGCTGTGTTGATCAAACCTATCACAACCAATTCCTGCACAGATGGAGGAAGCATTCCATCTGCATTAAATGGTGCGGTTCCATATTCTCACTTGCTAAGCATAAAGGAAAGTCATAACAATATTAATTCATTAAAGTTCCTTTTCTTTTCGTTTTTATTTAATAAAGTTCCATCTTTTGGGGTCCATAATAAAGTTACACATAGTATATATACACCAAAAAGTATTTTCTCACGATTTAAGTTTAACAATTTTTATGTTTGATATAAATTTTTTATTTAACTTACATTTAACAGTCAGTAAAATAATAAATTATAATTTATTACAGCTAAGTTAAATAAAAAATTTAAATTAAATATAAAATTTTTTAGACTTAACTAACGTGTGAGAAAATTCTGTGTACATGTATATATAATTTGGTCGACCGTATTATATGGATTTTGAGTGGCCCAATAGAGCATCTTTCACCCAGCAATTACTTTGGGCTGATATTTGAATCCATCAAACTTTGGGCTATGTTATGTATGACCCATAATAACCCATTGCATGGAATACAATTACGAACCTATTACAAAATGCAGATTGTCTTGATATTTTGTTAATTAGCCGGCATTGGTTTTATGGTTCCAGAAGAAATTTAATCCATTTAATCAATTCAACGACTTAAAATTTTCGTAGAAGACAGTCTTTTGGTTTAATAGGTTATTAAGAGGAACGTGTCATTCGATGCTGCCATTGGACAAACCATTGTTCAATCAACTTCGACGAAATTTCCAATGGCTTGATGAATGCTCTTAAGGTCTATTAATTGATTGTGACTTTCACACTTGGACTGCCATGTCCAAAATACTCGAGTGCCATGAAGTATGGTTGTTTGGACTAACTTCGATTTAATGTTCGTTTATATTGAAGTTAAATATAATTGGTTTTGATAAATTAATCGAGTTATTGAATATAATTAAGATATAACTCATAAATTAATCTTAACTATATATTTTTATTAAAACACGTTTTTTTTTAATTAAAAATTATTAGAATTAATTTTCCAACTATTAATCACACGAGTTGTTAATCCTTTAGCATAAAGCATGGTTCTTTCATCATGGGCATAATAGATCATAACATATAATTATAAACAAGAACAACATGGACATGGTATTGATGGTCCATAATGTCTAGATTTTGACATTCCTGTTTGGCTAACCTTCACCGACGTAGTAAATGGTCGATGCCTACTCCATTTTGTGTTCTAGAAGGAGGGAAAAACACTGCCTTTGAAATTAGCAATAACCAAATTCAAAATTCAAATCCAATTACCCGGTGTCCCAAGTGATGACCACCCAAGATGTTGACTTAATTGCATACGAGCGTTTGCAATTTCAAAAGTAATAAAAAAAAATAAAAATCTAAACTAAGGGCAACTTTGACAAAACGTCGTTTACAAATATTAAAATTCTTTCTATACCAAAGTCCAAGCTTAAATGTCACTCACCGTTTTCATAACTTCCCATGTACTATCTAAATTTGATTATTTTCCTCACGTAGACCATCAATACTGCCACAGTGTCACTTCATTAGATAATTAATGCATTGATTGTGGTTGCATCAAAGGATTAGTTGTAACTTGTTACCTCATCTTGTTTTACTTATTCCAACCCAACCAAAACCATCTTCTTTTTCAATTTTTCTCTCTGTGCCGTCCCAAAGGGAATAATAACAGTAAGTTTAGATATGTCCATAGTGTTGAACAAAAATAACAGCAGCAAAATGGGTACCCCTGTGTTCCATGAATTCAAAAAGCAAGCTTCTTTCTTCCTCAAGGAGAAAATCAAGACTGCTAGATTAGCTCTAACAGATGTCACCCCTGCAGAATTGTAAGTTTGCCTCTTTTATGTCATCATGAGATTTTGATTTGCAATTTGATCATTCTTCAACCTGTTTCATAAACAACATTAGTTCTAGGATTTCTAATATATACTTTTTTTCCCCTTATGCATGGATGTCTCTTATTTTTTACAGGATGACAGAAGAGGCAACTAGTGGAAATCCATGGGCCCCAGATTCTCCAACACTCAGATCAATTTCAAGGGCTGCTTTTGAGCTAGATGATTATTGGAGGATTGTGGAGATTTTGCATAAAAGGTGTTTTTAAGAACTTTTTGTTTTCCTTATTATGCTTGCCACTTTTATGTTGATCAACCAAATCATGGATGAATAGCTTGTACAATTCTAATACAGGTTGCTTAAATTTGAAAATAAGAATTGGAGGGTCTCTTACAATTCCTTGATTGTGCTTGAGCACTTGTTGACTCATGGACCAGAAAGTGTTGCAGATGAATTTCAGAATGACAAAGATGTTATTAGCCAGATGAAAGGTTTTCAGTACATTGATAACAGCGGGTATGTTTTGAGTTTTGCAACTCTTGACTTCAACTTTCTGCACATTTTAATTTTCTTTCTCTTGACACTGGTTCTACAAGATCATGAGAACATTTTGAGTGTTTTCAGGTTCAACTGGGGCCTAACTGTCAGAAAAAAATCAGAAAGGATAATGAAACTACTGGAAGAAGGATCTCTTTTAAAGGAAGAGAGAAACCATGCTCGAAGGTTATCTAGAGGAATTCAAGGCTTTGGAAGTTTCTCCCACAGCTCAACTCCAGCACATGCTTCCATTCTACGTGAGAAATCATTGCCAACAACACTTGGGAGATATGATTCAGACTTAAACAATCATGAAGATCGGGAAAACCAGCCCTTTGGTTCTAACAATGGTGTGGCCATAGTAGCTGCCAAATCTCCTAGCCATCAAGGTGGGATTTCCAAGTCCTTGGAGAGTGTGGAATCCAAGAGAAACCAGGATGATCTTGGTAACAACCAAATGCTTCAGAAAGACGAAACTAGTTCTAAAGAAAACATGGAGCCTAGCAAGGAGGAATTCCATCTATGGAACTTCAATGGGGAGTCCAAACCACTTTTGGATTGTGATGATGAGGATTCCAGGCTTGGGATTGCTAGAACCGAAGATGATCACCCCTTTAATTCAACAGAAATACATGCCTCTTCATCCCTACTTTCTGCCAGAGACGGAATACTACAAGGGTGTTGAAGCAATTTGAAGATTTAAACGAAGCCAAAAAGTTGCGTGCATATTGCATTTTCCATTCAGAAGAGCATTTTTAATGAACGTCTTATGGTACATGTATCATGTATATGAGTAGCCATTATGTTACTTCAAAGAACTTCCCCTCTATATCACGGTTTGTTACCCAACAAAGAAAACGGATTTTGGAATGTATTTCTCTATATTTCATCTGAGTAGATATTTAAATTCAACCTTCTCTAGCCAATTTAAATTCAATCGATCATATAACCTGTTTAAGGCGCTTAAACAACCGTATTATATTTTGGCAGAGACAATAACTAATTAATTTGGAAAAATGGCATATTATTTAGTAGGTGGTGAAGGTTTGTTTAAGTTCTGGAAAATAGAATAAACCAATTTCCTAGGATTTTACTATTTCAGCAACTCATGTATTACAAGATTCAAAGAATTTGGGTTCATCTCCACACAAAATTCTCTAAGCTGACAATTGCAATTCTGATTGTACAATAGGTCAGTTTGAACGTACCAGAGTGATTCAGGAAAGCATAAACAACAGCAAACCAACTAACCTAGTATCACTAAAATCTTAACAATGATTGATTTGAGCTAGAAAGCAATAAAGAAAGGCAAAACAATTATGCAAAAATATACATGCAGATATTTACAACATAGATTAATGAATTAATGAAACTTCAAGATTTGCAAAGCCAGCCTTGGATAGCAAGTCGAAGTGCATGATTGGGAGTGAGATGCAGGTGACTCAATTTTAAATTAGTCATAGGAGAAGTATTGCGTCCATTTTCCAGCCATTCACATATGGCCTTCGCTTCATAAGTAAATCCGTCTGCTGCAACTTGAGGATCATACATTATTTCCTGAAGAATAAAGCAAATAAACATAGCCACATAAATACAATAATTGAGGATCTTGTAAAAGACAAGTTATTTCTCTTTAATTAATGTCCAGCATGCAAGTTTTTGTAGTCCTCTTGGTGCTTAAATTCAAGAAGTTAAGAATGTTAAATGACAATCATTGCAAAGTTAAGCTATATTGTGTACTTAATTTGAGTCATTACATTAGAATTACTACCACCCCTAGTTATATAATTAACAACCAAAAGGAACAGTTACCTGAAGGATTGGACACAAGAAAAATGATGGCACTGGTCGCTCTTCTAAAGCATGCAACTGCTCCAATTCCTTCACTAGAGAAGGTGTTAACTCTGGTCTGTCTCTACTCTTTGGTTGGCAGCATTGCAATCCTAGTTCAACCAATTGTGTTACCATAGTGGAATTCCATTCTCCAGCTGAAGAGTCCAAAATTGAAGATAATTTTCCACATGAAACTGCTTTGCGTACTTCACCAGCAAGTCCAACTGGAGTCCTACCAGTGAGGAGTTGCAAAATGATGAGGCCAAAAGAGTATATGTCAGACTTAGGTGTTAGTACTCCAGTTCTCTGAAACTCGGGATCTGTATATGTAAAGGAACCCTTTGGCTCATTGCTGAAGCGAAAACTAGGTAGATAGAGTGACTCCTCTTTCACCACCCTGCTGAACCCAAATTCACATATCTTGCAACTAAGTGCTGAATCAAGAAGGACAGTTTCAAGCTTCAGATCACCATGGATAATAGTTTCAGGTTTGGAAGAATGTAAGAAGCATAGAGTTGTAGCAATTTCAGCAATCCATCGTGCTCGGATATTCCATGTCAAAGGGAGAAGACTGCCTTTTCTTGATAGGTAGTCTTGGAGACTTCCATTGGGCAAGTACTCATACACAAGTGACCAGGCTCCAGGACAAACACCAAGCAAGGTTACCAGATGAGGATGCTGGACACTACCAAGAACTTGAACCTGGTCATACAAGCATAAACATCAGTTTGATCAAATAAACACATTATAAGCCTGGATATTCAAGCCAAGAAAGAATAAGGTAAAATTTTAAAACAAAAAACTCAATATCTTAACTCAAGAAAGTTTGTATGATGGGGGAAAATTACAAGATAGAATAACTTATGAAGCCAGAAAATGCATTCTTCACAGTTCATAGAATTCATACATGTTTGTAACGAAAACCAGTAATGAAAAATAGAGATGTTATAACTCATTATAATGGTATGGAGAACCCATTGATTTGTTCTCATTTATATAATATAATCATTTTAAATGTTGGAATAAAGAAAAATTATATTTTGATGTTTTTTGTTGGATAGCTTTGGCATCAATATATGACAAACACCACACAATATGAAAAAAGGAATAAAAAAAGGCTGAGGCATACTCTCATTAGTCACCGGTGTCTTGTTCCCATTTATTAATGTGTTTTTGCAGTTTGGAAAAAAAATACTTCAAGAACTTCTTGATGCTTCGGAAGTGTTTTAAGATGTCTATCAGTGCTGCACGACCCAGTCACAAGAAAAACTTGATCTTCTTCTTCATAAAGGCACTTAACATTGTAATAGGAGAAAACTAGATCTTGAAACAAAGTAAAACTAGATATTGAAGAAAATTTATGGTTGTGTAAATTGCTTCAGGACGTCGACAACACCTTTCTCGATGAGTATATCTGTAGATACACCTACTCGTATGGTATTTAAGATATAAGAATCAAGAGCATCCAAAGTTATGACAAGGATTTACATTTTGTAGGATAGGACTTAGAGCTGCTTAAGTGTTTATAAGATCAGCTGGCGTGAGACCTTGCTTGATTACCTTGAAAGGATTGTTTAGGAGATGAGTTATGATTGTTCCTGTTGGGAAGCCGATTAAGAATACAAAAGCCTATAAATTATGTTTCTGCCTGTGATCCTCGCAAATCCTAGAGAATTACAGATAACTATTTCAACAGAAGAAAGGCTGTTATGGGAGAACTGACCTCTTGATGAAACTCTGCTGATCCTTGCATGTTATGTGGATGGAGCTTCCTTATAGCAACAGTTCTACCCAACATTTCCCCCTTATAAATAGAACCATACCCACCCTCCCTAATCTTGAAGCTCTCAGAAAAATTGCATGTGGCATTTTGAAGATCAGCTAATGAAAATTCTGCTAGCTCAGGGAAATCTTCAGCAAATCCAATGATCCCATTGCAGGGATCTGCTGCAACATGTCCACGACTTCTCCACCGCTCAAGCCAGCGTAGTGCTTCCATTTTCTGTCGGCTGATCTGCTGTTTTTCATGCCATAAGTTTGAGATGGAAGCTTGAATTATTGATAGTTCATCTGCAGCTTCATCTCTCCTACGGTTGGTTTCATGTGCACAACTGCTTAGAAGGGAAATACTTCTCATGGTCCTTTGCAGCTCAGTAGCAATTTCTTCTTTCTCATCCAAGAACTTCTGCTGCTCATGTAATGTATCTCTCAGTGCATCCTCAGCCTCTTTTCTGAGCTTTACTTCATGTGCATGGGCAGACTCAAACAAATTGACCTGAAAAAAGAATATGTAACTTGTGTTGGAACAAAAGTCAAAGAAATGCATAAATTGCTTAATGGAATACTCTATCAATGTTTCTTAGATACATAAGAAAGTATACTTGATCCCTCATGACAAAGAAGAGTTTGTTTGGTTCTTTCCTGATAAGAAGAACAAAGTGAATAAAGCTTCATTGCTATCAAAAGTCGACATTACGTTATGCTTACCTTACTTATGGCTTCAATGGCTTTGACTTCCAACCTTTTGCACTTCAACAGCTCTGTTAAGGCATTGTCTGTGGCAGCATTAGTTTCTCTTTCGGCTTCAATAAGTTGACTATTGATTGTCTCTTCCTCAATCTCTGAATGAGTATCTAAATACCTCCCATCCAGATGTTGGAGAGAACAATGACTAGTACAACTGGATGATTTGGAAGAAAAAGTAGCTTCTTTTTCAATGATTTCACTCTGAACTGTACTTGTTGTTGTCCTTGCAGAATTTGACTGAAGACATTCTAAATCGAATAATTCATTCATACCATATTGGAAAGATCTACTTCTTAAGCTCTCTGCAGTCTCGGGTTGAGCACATGAAGACAAAGACCGAGGAGTTTCAGAAGCTTCTCTTGTCCATATATGTTTACCTTTATAGACAAACCATATTTCACAGAATGGGGGAGCATTTTTAGCAACATAATTTGCTTTGCTGGACTTCCTTTTGACTTTCATGCAACTGCATTTTTCCATTGTTTTTGTAAGTGGAAAAATTTATTCATCCCTTTTATGAATGAAAAGGTACAAAATTTTATGATTGATGTAGATTGTATGGTTCAAGTTATCAGAGCAGACAAAGGTATAGATATGTTAGTCTCTACAGAAAAGATAGATAGAGATAAGAGAAAACATCGACCTTTCCAATCCATAAGAACTTGTCAACTAGAATGGAATAAAGAAGCAAATAAGCCAAGTTCAATGCATCATAACTAGACAATTTCACAGTCATATATAATTTTTCCCTAACTAGCCGAATATGTTGGCATTAGTCAATGCATTACTTACTTTTCCGGTATTCCTCCAATAACTAGTTTCCTGATATCATGCCTAATCATCAAATCGACAATCCCTTTCTGCACTTGATCAGCTTCACCCATGACACTACTTGCCTTAACCTGAAAACAAATTACTTTGGTGAAGACCATTAAAAATTGGCTTATTCTCACAATATTGGACATGCAAATTGAATTATATAGAGTATAGAATGAGAATTTTAACAAAAATAAATTTCAGTCATTATTATTCACATATTTTGAGGAAGAAAACATGAAAACAGAATGATGACTAACAGGATTTAAAAGATAAGGCTAAGTGAAGTATCATGTCACCCAAGAATCATGTTCCGGAGCAACTCTCAGTTGGGTGGGAAAATATGATTTCTGGAACCATATTTGCGGTTCCCGCACACATATTTTCAATTTTCTAAAGCTCTACCAAGAAATTTTTCCAAAGGCCATAAAATAAAATAAAATAAAAAAGCAACTTTGACTTAATAAACAAAATTAAGAAAAAAAACTATAATGCAGACGAAGAAATCAGCATTAAAATGATAAGATAATTTCTTATTGCTGTGACTATAAACACAAAGAGAAGCGTGCATATACCTTGGCTGCACGACAAAGGCTCAAGTACTTCTCCAAAAGCCTCTTGGTCTCTTCTCTCTCCTCTATTCTATAAGCAGACACGACTATAGGATTAGCTTGGGATGCTGGCAATTTTCCCACTGCACAAGATTTCAACTTTAAATGAATCAATTCATGGGATAGGATGAGAATTTCTCAACAAGAAATAGAGGAATCAGTTATTTTTCATTTCAATTCTCTACTTTATGCCTTCCAAAAATAGAAAAAGAGCCAAATTTTGCATAGCTAAATTGAAAGAAAGCCAATCCAAATTCAGAGGAACTTATGACATTACATAGAGTGGGAATCATAGTAGAAGGTTGGTAAACATGAAGCAAGTGAATGTGTGTGTTCCTAAAATGAGTGAAACACCATTGAAGCAAAGTTGCAGCTTTTTTCAACGACCTCCCAACTGCCACGTGGAGCTTATGATCACATTCTTCCATGGCCATGGTGTTAGAAGCCATGGAGAGGGTCCATTATTGAAGAAGAAGTGTATGAGTGATAGGAATGGAAAATTTGAACAGTGAGGTTAATGGCTTTTTGGTGATCATTCTCTCTTTCAAACTCAAAAGAGAAAGACTTGACTTTTGCACTGACTCGATGGCGTATGGTATCTCACTTCTCTTCTATCATCATCCATGTGTTGTGTGGAGGAAACAAAAAGGAAACAAACTTTGGAAGTAAATAAAAACTCCTTTCACTGCGTGAATGTCATTTGTTCCAAACCCAAGTACCAATGAAACGTGTGGAAATGAATGTCAATTGTGGAGGGTGCTCCACCAACCTTTGAAATGAAATAACGAGGAATCTCGTTGTTTTGGAATTTAGATATGGATATGTATTTGTGATTTTCGTGTTTGCTAATTTTATAATCATAGTTTTGACTTTTTATATGTTTATTTTGTATATAACTACTGCCATAAGAAAATTTGTACATAACTAGCATTTTCATATTGAAATGCCTTTGGAAATCAAACTACATAACTGTTTTGGTATTTGTATCGTAAGGAATTGATAGAAAAACAAAAAAACGGTTGACCTTATTCACACATTAATATTTAATTTAAACATATTTTAGATTCCTAAAAATATTTCTTTTCACGTTTATGTATTTTTTTTAATTTCAAAGTTCTTATATTAAACAAAAATAATATGTTTTAATCCTTCAATTATTTTTCAATAAAAAATAAATATTTAATTTTTGAATTCATTTTTTTAAAGCGAGAAAAAAATAAGAGTTCAGTCACTATTAATATAAAGTTAATTATATTTTATATAATACTTAAATTTAAATTAATGGAAAATAGGTCTATACTTTTTATCTTTATAGGCCTCTTCATTTTTTGAAAAAGCTAAATTCATGATTGTATAGATTAAAAATAAAATAGAGAAAATTAAAATATCAAATTCAGAAAAATTAAAAATATGCTTATAGTCTAATATTTTATCAATTAATGCATTTTATTATAAAAAAAAAACTTCATCAATATTCGATAAAATTAATAATTTGATTCTTTCAATTTTTTATTTTTAATCCTTCATCTTTTTCAATTTCAATTTTATTTTATATATTAATTATGGCAGTAAAAATTTATAATAGTTAAAAAATATAATTTGTGACAATAAAATCATAATTATGTAAGACTAACTGAAAATAAAATAAAAAGATAAAAATAAAAAGATCAAGTTAAAAAATAAAAAAAATAGAAAGTATTATTTTTGTTTACTTTTTGTCATTACAAAAGGGGTAGAATATAATCATACCTAACCGACAGAAAACTCCACTTTTAACGGTAGGTGATTGAAGTGACAGTGAGTTTTATCGTATTGAAATTATAAATGAAAAGAAAAAGAGGGTAAGATATTTTAGTTCGGCAATGGAACCCCACCCCGTCATCCTTCCGTTATCTGTATCTCACTTCTGTAAAACGATTTCGATTATAAAATAATTGGCAAAAATCTTAATTCTCACTCTGAAACAAAAGCTTATTTAATATTTTCTCCGATTTTTTATAAAAAATAAAAAATTAAATCACTGTATTAAAGAAACAATTAAATCATTATATTTTTTATAAATATAAATTATAGTTCAAAAATACTCATCACATTAAATAATGTAATTAGTAATTTATATATTTAATAATACTAATAATAAATCTAAAAAGAATTTAACCATCAATATATTTTAAATTTATTATTTATTTTTTATAAAAAATTAGAGAAAGTAATACCTATTTTTTTGGTTAATTTATGTTATTTTTCTTCATTAATTAATATTAAGTATTAAATTGAATAAAATAAAACTTTAAACATTTTTTAAATATTAAATTATTATTATTATTTTTATAAAATGAAACTTTTTTTAAAAAAAAACCATTAAAAAAAGGGAGATGTTCCGTAGATTATGCCGAAAAGGGTGAATGAAGTAGTCATTTGCGTTATTTCCTCGTACATAGCAATGTTAGTGTAGTAGAGGCATCGCAATCTCTGTTATATTGGCAATTACTATATTTTCAGGAAATGATCTTTTTGTTAAAAAAAGACATGATAATATCCTTTTGATATTTTAGCCAATTTTTTATGTGTTTATACGAAACAGTTAAAAGAAGTAAGCGGGAGATAATGAAAACTCTCGTCTGATAAATTCTCTTATTGAATGAACACTTGGTGCCGTTTGTTTGAATTTTATTTTTTATTTTACAAAAACATCACTTCTAAAAATTCAGTGTACTTATTAAGATTTTGGCAAAAAAGAATTGTAATTATTAAAAAATAACTACTTTAAATAGCTTTTAAAAGATGGAATTATGAATATTTTCTAAAATAAAATATGTATTTTATAAATTATATTTAAATAAAAAACTTTTATTCTACATAAAAATTTTAAAAATAAAACAAGCCTTTACACAATTCTAAAATAACTTTTAGAATTGTGTGAAAATCAATTTGAGTGACAAATATTTAGGTATGAAATTATTGGGGATATTCAGGGACCACAATAATTTAGATGAATACACGGAGAAGCAATGAGCAGTAAAAAGTTGAATGGCGTTGATTTATGGTCAAAATGTCAACTGTTAAAAAATGCCAATAATAAAACAAAACAAATGAAAGAATTTACTCTGCCATCAAAGTCCACTTTTTTTTCCTCTCAGTTAAATAAAACGAGGTATTTTCTTTCACCAAGCCAACCCGCAGCATTTAAAAGCATTTCCTGTGTACAATTGAAGGACCAGCCTCATCGTACTCTGCCTTAGCAATCCACATCTGCATTTCAAACATGATGTCCTAACATTAGTATCCCCACATAATTGATGCAGCCAGCAATATACTTAACTCACTATCACTAGGATAAAAGAAAGGCACATGTGTGATCTCTCGGGCATGCAATTATCAAGTTCAGGAGCATGATGATGCATTAGAATCATAGCAAAACGTTTACCTGTTGGAAAGTGCTGAGAGAAGCCAAGATAGAGCCACCAATCCAGACACTGTACTTTCTCTCGGGTGGAGCAACTACCTTAATCTTCATGCTGCTTGGGGCCAAAGCTGAGATTTCCTTGCTCATTCTGTCGGCAATACCAGGGAACATGGTAGAACCACCACTGAGAACGATGTTTCCATACAAGTCCTTCCTAATATCCACATCGCACTTCATAATTGAATTGTATGTGGTCTCATGAATGCCTGCAGCTTCCATTCCGATCATGGATGGTTGGAAGAGAACTTCAGGACACCGGAAACGCTCTGCTCCAATGGTGATGACCTGTCCATCAGGCAACTCATAGCTCTTCTCAACAGCAGAGCTAGTTTTTGAAGTTTCAAGCTCTTGCTCATAATCAAGGGCAATATAAGCCAGCTTCTCCTTTACATCCCTTACAATTTCACGCTCCGCTGTGGTGGTGAAGGAATAACCACGCTCAGTAAGGATTTTCATCAAGGCATCGGTGAGATCACGCCCTGCTAAGTCAAGACGGAGGATGGCATGAGGGAGGGCATACCCCTCATAAATGGGGACAGTATGGCTGACACCATCTCCAGAGTCTAGAACGATACCTGCACAATTAATTCAACAAACATGTAAAAGTTAACCAACCTTAGAAAAATCAAAAAACCAACCTTAGAAAAATCAAAATCAACTCTACTACTTAAGCATGACATTAACATGGGCCAAAACAAAAAGACACCCTCCACAGAGCATTGCTTGTTTAAAATTAGTCTAGAAAGCAACAGAATGCTTTTCTTAAAGATGAAAGAGGTAGTTACTAACCAGTTGTGCGGCCACTAGCATACAAGGATAGAACAGCCTGAATGGCAACATACATGGCAGGGGTATTGAAGGTCTCAAACATAATTTGGGTCATTTTCTCACGATTAGCCTTTGGGTTGAGAGGTGCTTCCGTGAGCAGAACTGGGTGTTCCTCTGGAGCCACACGGAGTTCATTGTAGAAGGTGTGATGCCAGATCTTCTCCATGTCATCCCAGTTATTCACAATACCATGCTCAATGGGATATTTGAGAGTTAATATACCTCTTTTGGACTGAGCTTCATCCCCAACATATGCATCTTTTTGGCCCATGCCAACCATCACACCTGTGTGACGGGGACGACCAACAATGCTGGGAAACACAGCCCTGGGAGCATCATCTCCGGCAAATCCAGCCTAAAAATTGCAATAAAGTAAACTCACAGTAAATCAATAGAAATTAAAATTTCTATTCACATTCATTCGAAAAACAGAAAACAAAAACACTAGCCAATCACTTCTGCGAACAAAAAAAAATTGGAAATAAAACCATACAAGTATCCCACCTTAACCATTCCTGTCCCATTATCGCAGACGAGTGGCTGAATATCCTCACCATCTGCCATTTTATTTCAAAAGCTGAAAAAATTATAAAAAAAAAGGCTCAGAACATTGAGAACAAAGACATATCACATGCAAAAACTAAACAATGTTGAACGTATTAAGTCGGCCATAGATAGATGCTGGCTTACCACATAACGTTTTACGGAATTATGGATATAACCTAAAGAGACCTGAATAACGGGAATAGATTCGCTAACGTGATATCTTTGCATCAGAAGTTTGTGAAAAATTACAGGATACATCATATGTTTATCTTTCTCTTAATGGACTTTAAACAAGTAATACTATCCAAATTGTAGAAATCTATTAAAATGCAACACACTATCGAAATTCATAAAAAAATATTAAAAGACAAATAAATACAAAAAGAAAAGCACAATAAGGTCATTACAACATGAAAAGATTCATTCTCTCGATATCACTCTTGTTAAAATCCGACCAGACCAAAACTCTAAGCAAGCAATGACGAACTTAAATACTAATCGGTTATGATTCAGTATCGTATTTTATATCACATTATACCTGTTCAAAACTCAAGCCAGTTGATAATTAACATATTTTTTCATATTTCAGAAATACTTACACATTTCATTATACTGGATATAACTATATAAGCATATTAGTTCAATTGGCGAGAAAGTTATACGAACTCAATATTCGATCTGGCAATAACAAGACTTATCTATACACAGTCAGATATGAAAGTGAAAACTATATTTCGATCCTATAAAACAGATTCGAGGATAATATCAAACAAGGAATTGATTAAGAAACATAAAAATCAGAACAGAACAATAAGTATGAAATGTGAGATAGATAATGGAGAAATGGAAGTGACCTGAAGAAGGAGAAGGAGATGGCGATGGCGTTGAAAGGAAGAGAGAAGAGACGATTCTCCGATCTCAGCTGCCCGCTCTTTGGGTTCAAAACTGATTCTATGAACGGAGGGAAGTCTCGTGTGGATTTCCGTTTATAAATTTCACGTTTCACCCGTAACGCTTCAACACCGTCCCATTTCTCTTCCGTGACTCAATTACCTTGCGACACGTGTCTCCTTTCCGCGGATGCAATTGTATGGCAAGCCAATAAAACGTGCGGTGAATCTTCAACTGTGCCCCACCACCGTGGCTTTTTATAGCTTGGCCCAAATCTGGCTTTGCATTCCTTTATTCTATTCATCACACACATTTATTTTGGGCCTAAATTTTCGTTTCGGAATTTGGACCCACTGGATTATTGACCAGAAAAAGAAAAAGAAAAAGGGGAAAATTGTGTGGGTATCACAGGCTCCCAAATTTCATAATTTGTGAAGAAAATGAGAGAGAAAAATAAAATAAAATATTGTATATAATATGCTTACAAAAGATGTACGTAAAACCATAATAAAATAGTCATCATAAATGGAAAATGCTTCACTCCCAAATTTATTTGGGCCGAACCTTGAGGTCATCTTGGGCTCTATGGGATCGTTCTTAGCAACCGGGCCCAGTCTTAATTATTTTAAATTTGATGGAAAAAGTCATTTTAAATTAATTTATGGAACAATAATAAGATTAATTGAAAACCTACAGTATTTTTATTTCGTTTTTATAAAGATAAATGGAGTCAAAGAACCAACAACAAAACAGAAAAGTAACTAAACCACGAAAGTTGACATTCTCATTGTGTGTTGTTGAAACCTGCATTGACATGGATTTTAATATTTATAATATGTGAAAGATATAAATGATACCAAAAAGTTAAGTTATGAAAAGCACGAATTGACATTGTAAAAATTTATTGAAATTTTCTTTTTTTTTTCTTTTTAAAATCTTAACTGTCACTGTAACTAGTTAAAAGAAGTTCGCCAAATGCCCGTACAAATAGAAGTCTTAAAATCCCTAACTAGAATACGTATTCTCAATTTTTAATACATTTTAATGTTATTTTCAATTAAAAAATTACTATATATTAATTTCTTAAACAATATATGTCCTAAAAAAAGGTAAAAATTGATCTCAAATATCTCAACAATATTATGTTTTTAATATCAACAAAACAAAATTTAATATATAGATTTCAGTAATTATTATTTGATCTTACATGCAAATCACAAGTCAAATATGCTTCCAATAAATAATATTAAATATACTAATAAGATAATATTCGAGACAAACAGGAACAAGCTTAAGAGGGGAATAAAGTGAAGAGAGGGAGTGAAAGATTTGAAATATTTGGGAAGGAGATACGGTTCATGATTGTTAGGGATGGAAACATAATGATCTGAAATGGGATGCAAAATCATTAAGCATGAGCATGCATGGGATACAATGCAATTATGCCATAAGAGTGTGTGTTGAGCTTTTTTTTTTTTTTTTTTTTCACTTTTATATATACTTATACGTGGGTAGCTCATACCCCACAATATCATCATACCCTTTTATTATTTCTTTATTTGTTGGCTTAGATACTAGTAGTACTCACACATAAATTAAAATTATGCTTTGCTCTGCCCCCAAGTTTTGATTAATAAACTACAAAATTGACAGAACCAAAATCGTATTATTAGGATCGAATTAATTAACTAACCAAACATCCACTCCTTCGAGTTATGCTTTTCGTACACTATAACATGTTAGCTCTCATTATTATCTCCTCAGCTTTGGACAAGTATCATGGGTATGCTTAATTTAAGCCTTCTCCTATTTTTCTGAAACCAACTCTTATATTTACATGCATACATACTTTCTCTGATATTTTATTCTCTATCACCTTTTTTCAAGGCAGATTGGCCTAGTTTTCTTGTGGTAGCAAAGCTTGATGACAAATGAAAACAGGTTGAAAGTTAAGCTGAGGCAAAGAATGTAGAAAGTAGAAAGTCAGTGGATCAAAATTACTTTTTAAATATGATGATGGAATATGTGGTGAAATCCAAGCAATCCAATGGGTCCACCACTTTTATGCACAGTCAATGTATGAAATTAATCTTGGGAAAAAACGAGCCAAAGGTCCAAGTAGCTAAAATACAAATTACACAACAAGAACTCGGTCTAATCAATTGGAAGTAACCCTTTTTCTCACTCTTTCTTTTTTGTTCCTCATCGATCATTTCCACTTATATATCCCAAAAAACGAAACTTACCTAATCTCTCAACTTCCCTTGGTGGTTTATATTCAAGTTTTGGGAATCCTAAGTTCAACCAACTCCTCTAGTGCCTGCCTAATTAAATTATGCATTATAACATTAGAAATGGCCGGCAGTGGGACCCATTTGTGAAACTCACTGGCTAAAAATTTCGTTACAGCCAAAGCATGCTTGGATTTCAAATGCTGGAATTAAATGATAAGATATGGTTCTGTACTAATAACGGTGCAGGCACCATTATTGGTATCTAATTTTGTAGATTCGATGTTTGATATCACCGTCAACCATTCCCATTTTGATAAAAGCCCAGAGCCCGTGTGTTCGATTAGACTCGGGCACTGTTTCTTATTTTATGCAAAGAAAAAACATGACAAACTTCAAATGAGACCCTCACTAAATCATAACGATTTTTTTCTTTAATAAATTTTAATATAGAGTAAATTACCTTTCACAGTACTCTTTTCTCAATCTTTTGTCGTTGACTTTCAATGCAAACACAATAAATCGACCCTAATACAAAAAAGAAAAGAAAAGAAAGGAATATTTCTTTTTCTTTTTCTGTCTAATTAATATACCAATATTCAAAAGTTGTTTATTATTACCCTTTTAGATAATTTTTTATAAAATAAAAAATATTTTGTATAAGTTAAAATAATTTATATTTTTAAGTTTTAATAAGTTAAATGAGAGAATTTTTATGAAAATAAATTTTAACTTATGCAAAAAAATTATTTTGTTTTATTACTTAATATTTTACTGTTATAAATATATATTTAAAAAATTTATCAAAATTGAATCTATTTTAAATTAAGTCGTCCGAATCTTTGTCAAAGTTACTCTGACCAAGAATGCAGCGGAATAAAGAGACTCAAACGGTAAAATTTTCTTAATATCTAATTTTCTATTTATAAGACTTAAAACTCGAGGATAGTTGGAGATAAATAATTGAACCCTTTATCACCCGTAAAAACAAACATTAGTTAAAAAACACGAAACCTTAATTTATTTATTTATTTTCATCATATTTTACATTATTGTTTTTAAGCACACACATACACATATCAATCAAAACTATAATAACTAAATTGAAGAGTCAACAAAAAATAATGAAATATTAACATTTATAGAGTGATGCTTGTTTTATAATATAAACAGATAATTAAATTACAAAGTTAAAAATATTTATATTCCATTTTCATATCAATTAATTTTGTATTTATTATTGATGATAAAATTAATTTTAACAACTCGCACATAATATGAGAAAGAAAGGTAGTTTTCATTATAGAAGTGGTCTCACTTAATCAATTTTTCACAATTTTATTTTAATCATCATAGTGCTTTCCATTTCTTTGGAGATAGCTTAATTACTGAATCAATTTAATAGAACAGATACGGATATAGGGATTATCTATTAGACTATGATCGTTATTTGTTAAAGGAGAAAAAAAAAACTAACGTAATCATTTAACAAACAATTTAGTGCGCAAAACACAATGAAATCTATGTCAATGCGTTCAATTATATTGTCACAGATATAAATTGCTGACACTTGCCAGTCCCCCACTTATCTCTTAAAAAAAGATGATAATCTAAATAAAGAAATAATTAAATATTTTTTTAAAGTTGATTATTAGGGACCTAAAAGTAGCATGCACGTTAACATCAGATGGTTTTCCTGTAGTAAACCACGTGCATAGACACATCAAAGTTCGTAGAGAAAAAGATGATCACTTAAACGAGATAATGATCATAAGAGTCGTTAAATAGAAAAGAAAGAGACAGCATTTGCTTGCATTGGATCCTTCGCCAAAGTGGGTGTTTCAAAGCCTCTCTCTCCTCTCAATTCTCCACCTTCACCACCTTCTCTCTCTCGTAACTCATTAGCACACACATGAACAAAGTCTACCTTGTACTATAGAATCCGAAGAACGTTTGTTGCCTTTTTCTGTTCTCCCTCTTCTTAATTTCTTAGATATATTCTCATCACTCCATTTAGCTTCATCCACCCCATCTTGTTATGTTATCAACTAATTTGAATTTCCCTTCCTCTTCTTAATCTTCTTCAAATTCCAACCCCTCCCTTAATCTTATGCTTTCTAGATTCCTGTCGTTTTGCTTCATGGACGTTTCGTCTAATCTTGAAGGTTTTTCCCATGAGGAGAAACATGTGAACGACACCTTGGATACAGAATTCAATTTATTGGTAAGGCAAGGTTCAACCCGAGAAGAGAACGAACTTAGACCGAAACAACAATTGGTGCAAGAACGTGATGATGACAAAGAACAAGAAGATCATGAAGTAGATTTACAACAACAACAAAACCTTGCCGTTCCAGTGCTGTCCGCAGCTTATTTGGGTTTGAAGCTCAAGATTCCATCGTTGGGGGAGGAGGAGAGAGAGAAGGACGACTCATCAAACGAAGGGTTGAAGACTCCAACCTCGCCGAAACACAAAATTCCAGTGTCCTTGCCGTATCCACCTGCACCCAGAAAACCAAAACCTCGTCCATCCACGAAACGAAAAGGTTGTCACCCACGAATTGTGCTTGATGTGTCCCAAGAGATTGAATCTTTTTTTTCCTCTCAGTTTTCGGTGGATATTGGCGCTGCCGGTAAGAATAAGAAGGTCAAATTGTTCACAATTGATAGCCAGTGACTATGGGTTGAGCCGTAAAATCTAAATTTTACTTCCCCATTAACTGTTACGTTACATACCTCTAGCTAATTAGTTCATGGGTTTGGGTTGTAGAATTTTCCTTTTATAATCTAATTAAATGGTCGCTTACTTCCTTCTATGCCTAAAAGTATACTCCTCTATATATGATTTATCTTCTGTGGTACACTCGCATATATATATGTTCTTCATTTATCACTTCTATGACTGAAAATTGAAAAATGTTTTGGGAATATATCCAATACCTTCAATTTATCCACTTCAAAATGTTTGTGTCTCTATATTTTTAAGTGTGAATGTGAGATAAATAAATACAAATAAATATAGTAATATAAATGTTAGAATTCTATGCCCACTATACTTAAATAAGATGTTTTTAATTCTCTGTTATCTATAATTTGTGCGAGGAAGCAAGTACGTACATAGAGCACCTGTACATCTCGTTTGGAAGATGAAAAATAGAGAATTAAAGTACAATTTAATTTCAATTTATGAATAACATTAGGACATAAAAAGAGTGTTAATTAGATGTCTGTATTAGGTAGAAATATAAATAAAAATCTATTTCTGTAAATATTCAGTAGTCGTAAGGCTTGGGCAAATTTAGTTTTCATAACAATACTTATATTAAAGAAAAAAAGATAAAATAAATAATATGTGTTTTTTCGAATGGTATTTTTTCAATTATATATATAACAAATGTGGATGGTCCTAGGGTGACTTTGGATTTGGATGGCATGATTGCATTGACTTTGTTTGCTAATGGAACTGAAATCATTAGAAAATGGAAATTGGGGGCATTGACTTTCTTAGAGAAGAAGACATATTCTTCTGCTCTCAATTGATTCGTCTCTCGTTGAGTGCGCAAACCCATGCGGACCGGGATATACCTTCGCTTTCAATTACATGAAACAGTTTAAGAACATCGCAGTGGTGCAATCAAATGGAGTCCTTAAACTATTTTATTTTAAAATTTTTACATAAACTTTATCATGACATATCATATATTTATTAAATGAACTTCATAAATTACTCTACAAATTTTTTTTAAATAAATAACTGTCACTCTTTCGTGGTACACTTACTTTACACAGACATATGTATATTGATGATCACAAGATTATATTATTCATACAATACATTTTATAACATTAATTTTGTTGTCTATTTTTCTTCATCATATCAATCATTTTGTTGTCACTTTTTTTTTTCGTTTTGGTTACAAGAGAAAGTATGTAAATTTATTGTATGGTAACCACAAAAGAAATGGTTTCTTATTAATTAAAGTAGCTTAGGAGTTGTTTGAGAAGAAAAGATTTGGAAGGATGGGAGGAGAAGGCAAATTTTATACTTTGAATAAATATTTTTGAAATAAAAAATATAAATTGATATATTAACATAAAATTAATGTATTAAACATGAATTTGTTATAATAAACAATATATAATTCTTTTAATTTAAAATTAAAAAATATGTCTTCTTTTTCTTTTAAAAATTTCCTCCTAAATATAAGTTTGAATAAGAGAAAAGAAAAATATTTGAAAGGTAAGGGAGGAAGAGTGAAAGAGAAGAAGAAATATGATTAATATAAAAGTTCTCCAAATTGAATGAATGTAAAAACATGAGATGAGTGTTAACAAAATTGGGGGAGGATGATGTGTTAACAAAACTCTCAATTTGAGAAAAAAATTGTAAAAATTTTCAAACTCTTTCCCTTGCATTTTAAAAAACCTCAAATAAGTGTTACCATTAATTAAATTTTCTCTTTTCCTTTCCTCTCCCTCTCAAAATTTAACTTTAAAACAAAACCTAAGTAGCAAAAGCACTTGTTGAGTGTGTGTAAACATGTGCATGTGAGCCAATTTATTTTATTACAAGTCAGAAATGAGTTAAGCTAGAAAAAATAGCTTATAAATTTATTATTTTACCCAATTCACTGAACTCATGCTTTTTTAAAAATAAATATTACTATTTTTTTAATCTTTTTAATAAGCGATAATTTGTTTTTATCATGTTCTTGTTCATTTTTTATTTAATTTATGTTAATTTCTAGTTTTTTTTAGCTTTTTCATTTCTTTTATTTAGGAAGCCTGGTGAGTTGGATGGGTTTGACATATCTTTATTCACCTTTCTACTCAATCCATGGTGGGCCAAATTAGATGAGCTGAATTAACATATTTTGATAGTTCTGAAAAATGTCGTACAATCTCTTGAGAAATCCTTTCAAATTGATTTATACCACGTCCTCATAAAATATTTTCTTAATAATATCTCTTAATATTTAATACAAAATATTAAATAAAAGTACGTACTATTTTAAAACATTAACATTAACATTATGCAATATTTTTATTTATTTACAACATCATAGAAATTAGAGAAATTAAAATTATTCTTTGATAATATTAAAAAATTAAAATTGCCAGTCTCCAATCTTGCTTGCGCTGCATAAAAACAAAGTTTGCTGTGTTTTGGTCCAAAAGCTTTCGTTTTCTTAAAAACTGGAACGCGTGGGCACTCCGAAATAGCACGTGCTTTAGAGGTCATACCCAATGGGCTTTTGCATTTGAGGCCACAAAATTAGATGAGTTATCTTCCTGGACCAATGCCGTGGTTGTTTTCGTGTTCTCGTTGGGCTTTTAGCAGACAGCCCCATAACTTAATCTAAAAGTATAAGAAAAAAGTCCAGCCACATCTAGCGTTATGACATGTTTTACAAAAAAGATAAAAAATGTTAACTTTTGAAGTTAAAGAAATCAATAATAAAAAAATTTAATAAAAGAATATCAATTGAACATTTATAACTTCAATATAATGAATGAATGTGTATCACTCAAAGTTAACAAAATCATTAACATAAAAGTGTAATGATATTTTTTTGAGCCATTGGATGCAATACAAATAAAACTCAACTTATCATTTTGAATAAAAAAAAATGTTTTTAATATAAATAAATTAATTAAAAAAATATATTATGCATGTACCCCTAAGAGAAGAGGTTTACATAAATGTTTAAATGTGTTATATAAAAGTCATTTTTAGTCAATTTTTGCATGAATAATAAGTCATTTTTAATCAGCTTTTGTTTATCTCACTGAAACTTTATCATCATCACTAAAATCAATTACAATCAACTTTGTTGTCGTCTAATTTTGTGTAAGAAGTTAATTATAATTATTATTTTTATAAGTAGAAATAATTGACTTTGATTGAGTTCAAAAGAGGTTAGAGCACACATTTGAGTCAAAGAAGAAGGTTATATAGATAGTTGCTATAGAAATGAATAATAATTTATATCAATTTAATTTTGTTGATCACATTACAAGCAAACTCTTGGTGCATGTAATTTATTTTTTAAAATTGTTTCATTTGACTTTATTTATTTAATTGAATGTGTCATGAATTCTCTAATTAGAAATATTGGTAAACATTAATTATTATGTTTATATATTTAATTTTTATGATAATGTAATGTATAATGTATATTTATTATATATATATATATATATATATATATATAACATATTGTATTTGTTTTATATTTAATCAATTGTTTGTTATACAACTGTTAGTGTATTAAATTGTAGCATTACTTTTATGTAATTTATTATTTGTTGAAATAAAATAAATAATTATAGTTTTATGTAAATAAACATTTGGATTGTAACTTAGTGAATATAAATAAATTTAGTAGGTGTTAAATATATTTTGAATGTTTGAATTTAGTTTTGTATTATAGTAATTTATTTATTGAGACTTGATACGTTAAGATAAAATATTTTAGTATAATGATGTATAGTTTGTATTTTATATAATTTTAGTTTTGTATCTTTGCACGTGCTTGTTATAATTTTCAAATTTTAACAAATGAAATTTTAGTTTTTGTTAAATTTATTTTGTGACGTGGTTAATTTAAGTTTAATTTTGTTGTAATATATTTATTTAAATTTCATATTGTGTATGAAGAATTTTTTTTTAATATTTTATAATTTGTATTTATTTTATGTTTAGTTTGAAGGAGTAAACATTGCATGATATATCATTTTTTTTTCATTGTATTGGATACTCAGATTTTAAAAAGTAGGTGCTATAAGATGATAATTATTTTAGATCAAAAGGTGGAATCATTTCTTTGACAGACTAGTTTTTGACATGCACATGGTTTCAATATTCGATTATGATAGAGCGCTCATTAGTGCATTTGTAGAACGTTGAAAACCAGAGTCACATGCATTACATATTTCATATGTAGAATGTACGATCACATTAGAGTATGTTCTGTTTTCAATTAAGCTTGCGTGTGAATGGGCTCTTTATGAGTGGGTGCATTAGAGTGTGGGAGAAATTTTATGATCAAATGGATATTGTATGCATATTTACATGGAGCAATTCTAGATGAGAGACACATAAAAAGGATTCTTCGTAAACCAACATTGACATTTGGAGCATTGTCCTACAATACTAATGAGCACACTATTATTCGTTATACCAAAGCACGCGTAAATGGTGGAGTACTGTTCCCAAATAAATCAAGATTTAGGATTCATATGAAGTGACTTCTTCTTACTGATTTTAATGGGACTGTAAATTATAGTTGGGATATGTCGTTCTAAGATTTCTTTTATTATGAGTTTTGTTGTGCGGTGAAATACAATGTCACCAAATTTGCATATTGTTTACCTCTTTTATAGTCTTCAACACGGTACAAAATACCTCATATATGCATTTAAAGCATTGTCCTATAATGCTAATGAGCATACTATTATCCGTTACACCAAAGCATACATAATAATTCTACTTGATTAAGTATTGTTCCTAAATAAATTAGGGTTTAGGGTTCATATGAAGTGACTCCTTCATTTGATTTTAATGAGACTGCAAATTATAGTTAGGATTTATCATTCTAGGATCCCTTTATCATGAGTTTTGTTGCATGGTGAAATACAATATTATCAAAATTATAGGTTGTTTACTTCTTCTATAGTCTTTGACATGGTACAAAATACCTCAATTAACCTCATTTTTCACTAGCATTAAGGTACATTTTTATGTGAATATTTTAATTTATTTTTATTTATATATGTTCAAATTGTAATTAGAAAAATTAA